TGTGACCTTGAAATTGACCTTTGACCTACTTTTTATCATGAATTGAACTTTGCAAATTTTGGTTCCCTTTTATCTCCAAAATTGGCAGAGATAGGTCCATATAGTTACTATTGTACTTGAATAGGAAGTCATATACTGGCAATCTTAATGTGACCTTGAAATTGACCTTTGACCTACTTTTCATCATGAATTGAACTTTACAAATTTTGGTTCCCTTTTATCTCCAAAACTGGCAGAGATAGGTCCATAGTTACTATTGAACTTGAATAGGAAGTCATATACTGGAAATTTACTATGACCTTGAAATTGACCTTTGACCTACCTTACAATGAACTGAACTTTGATTGTACCATTTTTAGTTATATATTTTTTTGCATATTTAGAGAATTCTTGTTGATTGCATTTTTTATAGCTTGTCAAGCACAAGACTGGTGGTGGTGTCCCTTTTTTTGTGGGGGGGGGGTATATACAAATGCGCTTACTCCAGCTGGTGGTACAATATCCGGAGGCGGTATCGCCTCTCTGATCCTCTAGTTATATGATGATATTATAACAACCTTTTTTATATAAAAGTTTTTAAGCCTGATTTTAGTTAACAGGATATATAACCTTAAACCCTAACCAGACTGCCCACTTAGATGGATTGATTATGTTAGGCCAACCCAGCTAGACTAGAAACATGTCTGTAGGTTTGTTTTCATGCTGAATCTTATATTAAGGTACCTTTGAAAAACAAAAAGGTAGGCTCCTATAATGTATCCATGACATCCAAGAATGAAAATAAATGAAAATATCAAAATGCAAAGCAAATTGTCAAACCAAGAGGTTAATTATCAGTGTTAAAGACAGGTTTTAAGTTACCAGTGGAGATAGAAGATCATTATAAAAGCCTGGTATAAAGCTACTAATGAAGAGAGGAGATCATGTGTACTGTTAAAATCCAATTAAATGGAGAGCTTTTTTTCTTGTGTCTACCAGTAGCAGTATGTTGCCAACTTGAATAACAATTTGCATCCTTAGAATTAGAAGAGAACCCAATATGTTATGTAAAGTATCAGGTATGAAGCTTGTATCCCAAGGTTACCATTTACTGTACAAATCGTAATGATCATGTCAATGATTTTACATTACAGCCAGAAGAAAGTGAGATGAATGGAGTGCCCTCATTAACACTGCCATCTATCACAGAAGATGATGAAGATGAAGAAGAATTGACAGAAACCCCACTCTTAACCCCAACATCGATGTCGCCACCTACTGCCCGTAGAGAAAACAAAACATCTAGCAGTAAAGATAACTTACCAGGGTAATTTTTCCATTCTCTATGTTCCTCCTTTAGCATTGCTTTGCTGAATTTAGTCACCCATTAAAAAAAGTTTGTTAAAATTATGACACAATTAGCGCAGAGTTTTTTTATTACTATAATTTTGCGATAAAGTCCTTAGCTATAGCATCTGAGACGCTAAAACAGTTCAGTAGTATGCTATATCTGACATTGTCAGTCAAATTTAATATTCAGACAGTTGCCAGCCCAGCCATAAGCAGGGGCGTAACCAGGCATACGCACGGATGCACTGTGCGTACAATTTTTTGAGCCAACCATGATATTATTCTCCATAAATTCAGTGTATTTTTCACGGAATATAATCGTAGGCCTACCTGGGAATTTTCAAAATCTGTGCGTACAATTTTAAAGGATCTGGTTACGCCCCTGATAAGATACCTGAGTATATAGGGAGGGGGGTATGCAAGGTTGGCTTAATGCTGGGTTGGCAAGTATTTAACTTATAATAACTGATTTTATGACACATATTATGCTACAAAAATATTATTTTTATTAAAGTGATCTTACTCAAAAGAGCTGATGCTCTGTATGTCCTTAGAAGTGAAGAAAAAATCGAGCATAATTTGCTTGCTCTGGTTGTATTTAATTTTATCTTTCTCAGTTTGACAGCATCTCGGGGACATGTTACAACAAATAAATTAACAAGTTTAAGAACCAGGTACACTTGTAGAAAAATTTTCTTATGAATTTCCTTGCCTGTACATGTATTTGTGACTTTGATTTTATTGCTGTTCAAATACAAGGGCTCATTTGTATGAATCATTATTATTTGCACAATTTGGCTGACAATTTATTGCATGATCTGTAGAGGTCATTAGTGCTGTGCATTATTGTTGCATTTTGCTATCAGCAGTGACTTTTATTAATGTGAAGGAAGGGAAATGCATGATAAGTCCCTTGCCTTGGATGTTGGATTTGACAGTATTGTTTCTGTCTTGATTGATGTTATTGTACATGCTTGGTGAATATGTGCAACACACAAATTTCAGCATTTTTATCGTGTTTACAGACAGCATGTTGGCTAGCATGACCCAGGTGCTAAAATTGTAATTGATCCTACACAAACCTTCACACTTTGCCTTGGCTGATTTCATAACGGTAAAAAGAAACTCTGTTCACAATGAAACATCATCTGTTATTTGCAATAATCAGACACTCACTAGCAATAGCTCAGCAATAGACCACATATTAATAGCTGCAACCCATTTATTCAGGTGGATTCCTGCTTGGCTGACGACTATCTGCTTTTTTCAATCAAGCATATAGATTTCTTTATCATGTTTTTTTTTTCTTGCCTGTGTGAAGTCACCGTAAAATTCTCAACCATTTAATAGTCAATATGTCTATAGATGTTTGATGTGTTTGAAACTGGTGAACACAGCATCTGGTTTACCAGCACAGAATAAGAATTAGATGAAGTGACTTTGAAGTTGAAAATGATTTACCTGCATTCATGTTTTTCTCATGAATTCTCCAAGACGAAAATGCATTTGGTTTTTATGTGGAGTATGAATACTGGCAGCTTAGATGTATAATTATAATCGATTTGTAGAGCTACGAATTAGAAAATAAGTATAGATGCATAGTACTTCTTAATGCACCTATGATAATGAATTAACTGTTTGGCTTCTTTTTAAATGACAAAATTCTTATTGAGAAATGGTTTGGAGCTTTTCTGTGAGCCTATTGATGGTGAAACAAAAATTTAACAATAAGATTTTTATTCAATGAAAAATTATTTTTGTTCCTGCAAATGTGACAAAATAACCACTATTAGATTAATAATATGAATATCTTAAAGTTTTTAAAAATTGATAACAGGTTGAAAAGAATATGATACTAGAATAATTCTGTTGCTTAGTACAATTGCCTTTCAATAAGATAGTCAAACAAAAAGTGGTTGGAAAAATCAAAAATGAGAACATTAAAATTGAATCATAATCAACAGTAAAGGCTGTTGTTGTTTTTGTTTTTGTTGATTATATATTTGTTTGTTTACTGACTGTTGTTGTTGTTATATTGTTATGTACAGGACAAAGTTCTTCAAACCTGGAGTCAAAGCCAAAACCATAACGTAGGTGTACAGTACCATATGAACACCTGATATGCTGCAATATGTGAAGTACATGTCATGCATGATATTTTCAAATGCACAGCTTTGCCAAGGTGTGAATTAAAGTAATATTAGCAGAAAAACGCTAGGTTTATAATAACTGTGAAGTGTTGTGTGACTGCCTGCACAGAAACAGGTTTATAGGATAACTGTATTGCTTTGCATGAAGGGCCAGCTGCATATTTTCACTGGACAAGTACACAGGTTGTTAATAATGTAAAAGTGCATACTAAATCTTTTATTTTTTTATGTCAAACACAAAGAAATTGTAAGTAAAAAAAAATACATGTATTGCTGTATTTACAGGGTGATCCCCAAAAAATAGAACTCATAAAAATTTCATTAAATCTTACAAAGGTCCATCAAAATTTCGATAAATTTGCTAGACTTACACTTCAATATGTGTATGATCATTCTCCAAAGTTTCAGTTATCTCGGTTGCTCTGCATAAAAGTTGTGTTCTTTTTTAAAATATGCTCCAAATGGCCTCTGAGGCATTGGATACACACTTGCTTATGTCGCAAAAAAAATTGTCAATTACTCGACCACATTTCTCCTTTGGGAATTGGGAATTACCTGATTTTCACTGTAATTGCTGCCACCAATCATTTGAGGGTTGTTCTGATTCACTTTATCCTTGAGACACCCCCACCAAAAAATCTGGGGGGTGGGGGCAGTCAAAATCGGTGAATGCCATGCCCACTCAACATCACACTTCTGCTGATCAGTCTCTCCTGAAATCGTTATGTGGCAGTGCTAAGGAAGTTTTGGACATCACTGGGATGATTCAGAGGGAGGGATCAAGATGGACAGTGGTTCCAGAAAGACAGGGCCATCCCCACACATCAAATGACACTCTTGCCTGACTTAAGAGAGCAATTTCAGGAGTGATTGATTGGCAGAAAGTGTGATGTTGAGTGGGCATCACATTCACAGGAATTGAACCTTCCCAGATTTTTATCTTTGGGGGGTATCTCAAGGACAATTTGTACCAGAACAACCCTGAAATGATGGTAAACTGAGGGTAGCAATCACAGCAAAAATCAGGGAAGTCCCAAAAGAGGAATGTGTTTGAGATATTGATGATGTTTTTTGCTACATATACAAGTGTGCATCCTAAGCCTCAGAGCCCATTGGAGCATATTTTTAAAAAGATCATAACTTTTATGCAAAGTGACCAAGATAACCAAAACTTTGGGGAATGATCATGCATATATTGAAGTTTAAGTCCAGTAAATTTCTTGAAATTTTGATGGACCTTTGTAGGATTTTATAAATTTTTTATGTGCTCTGTTTGTTTTGGGGTCACCCTGTAGTTGGTATACCTAAGGGTATACATGTAAGTAGCTCGCAGTGAACTTGATTTGACATGCAACATTCACATTTTACAATACTGTTTCCTCTAAAATATTAATAATACTTTTTTGGTTATGTGTGGGGCTGTGCACTCATCTGTTATGAACTCAGAATGATTTAAATATCAAATCATTGGCAAGAAAAACTCAATTGTCATCAGTTTCAAAATAGGTGTGAAATTCAGTGTAAGGAAAAGAAATGTCAACAAGTCTGCCTTCATTTCCATGCAGAGCTTTGATGAAATAACCCAAATTTGAAACTTTGTTTGCCTTTTGTATTTTAACATTTGAAAATGACTTGAAAAGCATGTCCAGTTGCATGAAGGAGATCAATATAAGCCCACTAGCCTACATATGCCCATAACTGCCTGCATTGTGCTCAGTGGTATCATTGTTGTGAGCTAAAGCATGATATGTATGTATAGATTTTTACAGAATTGATACCTTGCTGGTGCTGGTAGAAGAAAAGTTGTAATAGAATGATCCCATGTATCATGATATCAATCTGTAATAGGTTTTTATTATCTTTGTAAATGCTTGCAAAGGCACTATTCCATTGTGGCAGTAGACTTTAAATATCTGTGCAAAAGAGAGACAAATACTAATTGAGATCAGGAAATTGTTTACATTTGTGAAAGTTTACTTCATCATTTTAGTCATGTTTCACTTTTAATCTAAGACCAAGTCATGGTGACCCTCCTCTTCTCAGAATTTTCTTTATCATGAATGTGTCATCTTTTTCAATAAACAATCGTTTTGTGATAATTCAAGACTTTTATCAACCTTTCTGTTCTAGAATAATTGATCCCAAAGAGGAAAGTGTGCAGCAAAGGAGACGGAGTTTTGAAATGCGGCGAAGAAACTCAGTCGGCAAAATCAGTCCAGGGCGTGCACCTTCTGTGGAAGGATTGCGATCAGTCTTTACTGCGCCACCATCTTATTTTGCTTCCTGTGAGTATATTAATCTTTATTCATCCAATTCCCATTGTGCTGACATCAGAGCTGTGCAATTACAGAGGGCTGTTGCACATACCTGTTATATTAAAATTTGAGATGAACTTAATTTCGCAATTTTACACTCTGGAAATTTTTTTTTTTTTTTTTTTTTTTTGGGGGGGGGGGTGCAACGTGAGGATGCAACACTATCACTACCACCTGTGGGATTTAATCCATCAGCTAAAACTAATACAAAATAGATCATGCTATTTATGTTTGAAATGAACCTTTGAGAGAATTGAGATCATTTGTTGAGCTAAAATTGCCATTGCTAGGCAAGGGATGTGCTCATTATGGAGCTTTCAGTACATTGTCTGTTGCTATGCGTGCTCTAAGAAATTGCAGACTCTGAGGAGTTTCAATGCTGGGTAGAGCAACAATTAGGCTGGTGACATATGATGCAATCACACAGGAAAAAGTAGGTTTCTAAAGCTTTTTGTATGGCATCATCATTTGGTGGTCAGAAAGTCATTAGAAGATCACTTCATTGAGTGGAATACTGCTGTGCAGTGATGAAAAACTGCTGGTCTAAAAACCACTTGGTTACCATTTTTTTTTTTATAATTCTAAGTCACACCAATGCTTTTTTTACCTAACTACATGTACATTTAAAAAAAGAGACTTCAAAACATCTAGATAAGATAAAATTATCCCATGTGCTAGTAACGTAGAATATTGCTACAAATGTGGCAAGAATCCAACAATATGCAGGTGTGTGCCCGTTAATTTTATTGTAATATAAAAATACATGAACAACATCAGTGACGTCATAGTTACAGGTATTATAGCCCTGTGGTATCATTTCCGCAATGATTGATAGAATATTCTTCCTCTTTTGTAAATCCAGGGAGCTTAAAGCCATTTCTCTAGATTGATAAGAAGGAAGTGCCACCGAAGGCAAATCTCTTTTGTTCAAATTATGGGAATGGTGATATATGATAGGATAATTATGTAGCTTTACTGAGAACTTACACCTGATGTTGTGGTCTTGCAGGGTTTTTTAAGGCACTTCGGTTCAAACCCATATTAGGTGCATTGCAGTAAATTATCATGGAAGGCATTCAATTTGTTGCAAAATTAACAAGCAGACAGTTCTAAAGTAATGTGTGCTTCTGCCACTGTCAGATTTGTATTGGTCAGTAAAATTTCAGTGATGTAAGTGTCTAGGTTTTATAAAATATATGCTGAAGTATTAAGGTAAATGAAATGATTGATAAATGAGTTTACTTGTGTAAAACTCTCAGTATTTACTTTAGAAAGAAAGATAACTGGTGTGGTAATGACTACCCATATTTTTTCCATACATTTCATAAAATGATCATTTTATTTTTTTTTTCTTTTAATGTATTACATCTATAGGAGTATTTTTGGAGGCTAGCACTTATAGATTAATAGGTTTGTTTGCAGTTGTCGAGTTGATAACATTAGCAGTTTTCAGAAGCTGGAAGCTTCAATGGTATTAACGGCGTTTTTTTTTTTTTCTTTTTTTTTTTCTTTTTAAAGTAGTAAGTTTATATAATAATATGGATTATAGAAACTATGTAAAAAGATGTTCTTTGTTGCAGAGCAAAGAGGGTTAATAAATTTCATTTTTATACACAGACACTGTGTGAGCCTGTATATTATGATCATTGTCTGTCTATGCCCTTGATGTCTGATACCGCATTTATGTTTTACTTTAAATTTAGTAAATTTATTTGGCAAAAATGCACATTCATTTAAAAATCAGCATGATTGACTTATTTTTTAAGAAAGTTTTTTTTAAATGTATTTGACAATGGCACAAGCAAAATAAGCAGTTGTGTTGTGGAAGGAATGTATTCACTGTTCATGAAGTTTGTCACTATAAACAATTTTTTTTTCAAATCTACTAGAATGTGTCTGCTTAAAATATGTTTAAGTTTAAATGTACCAATGGGAATGACTTTTTAAGTGACAGTATATTTGATAGTTTTTTTTTTTTTTTTNTTTTTTTTTAACATGATTGACTTAGATTCGTGCTTTTTGCATTTCAGTTGCCAACAGAAGAGGATCAATGGCAGATGAAACGGCACAAGAGATGCATTCAGAATTAGAGCAAGCAAGATGCAGCATTGAAAGATTGGATAGACAGATGAACACTGTTGCCAATGACGTCTGCAACATGAGTCGAGACATAAGAAATATGATGCAGCTTTTACAAACACTGCAAGGGAATGCATCTGCTTCTACAGATAACTGCAGCAATGACAGTCGGACAAAAGTACATCCAAACCCACCAAGTGATAAGCAATGTCAGAAATCTTCACCAGAATTTAGGAAGCGAAGAATTGGGTCAATCCAGAAACCTTTATTATCTCCTGAAGAAAAAAGGAGTATATTGAAAGGTAGTAAATCCAAAAGGCCACCAGTTTCTTATGTCACTTTCTCAGATTGTAATGAATCAACACCAGAGGTCAGCCCGGTTGGTGACCAAGAGGAGCCACTATCACCAGGGGGTCTAGTGATGCATGCACCAGTACATTTTTCATCATCAAAAACAGATGTAAATGATGACACAGAAGTAGACAAAGAGAAGCAAAATGATAGTAGACCACACTTCGGGTTATTAAATCAAACAAGCAGAGAAGAAGAATTCAATGAACTTGAACCTCTGACAAACGGATCTCTCAAATCTGGAAGCGACACCAGTATTGATATTGATGTCAATTCTCCAGTGTGCAACTGGCAGAGCACTGATCTGTGACAGCAATTAGAACAAAGACACAAATTTGGTGCTCACTCTATGGCAAACATTGTGTTGGAGGTTTGAGCATCAGTTTTGTTTGGCAGTATGTCACACAGATGTGGTCAAGATATTCTAGGATTATTTGTTGTTTATAGTCATTTCAAAATTAAATTTCGGTGTTATATTGTATCTTTGAAGTTCTTTACCAGTGTCTCCTGGAGCAAGTGTTAATGAATCGTTCAGTATTTTCCATATTTTTACGAGCAGATTATCTTGTATTTATATATCTATATTATCTTGTTTATTCATGTTAATTTGCCTATCATTTTAAAAATGATACGTACAATTTTTAATGGTTGTTGAGAGGGAAATGACACTCAAGTCGCACTGTTTATATGCACCTTCTAATTTGCCTTTTTATTTATTTTACAAGGCATGGTAAAATGTTTGATGGATAATATCTTTCAAAGTAAATTGTATCAAAAATAATTATGTGTTATTCTTTTCTCTTTATAATGTTTCTCAAAATAAAAGCTGCATGTTGTTTTAAGCAAATTTAAAAATATTCAAAACTCAGTTGCAGGGTGTCTTGTGAAAGGTAAAGGTTATGTTTGCAGACAATCTCCAGTCCATCGTAGTATTATATACTGATAGGTACATAAACTGGATGTAGGCATTGAAATTTAAAAGCTTTCTGTTGAGTTCAGGGTTTATTGTTATATGTCGAACATTTTTACATATAAACTTGTCTATTTCTAAAATATTGTTTTATTTTGTTTTATTATTACCTTTATGTGTAGATTACTGATATTATGTTCATTGAATCTTGTATGTGGTAATTTTTTTTGTTTCAATCAGGTGTGTTGTCTTGATATAGAGTTGACATTAGTCCCACCTACTGTTATGTTCCAATACTTTTTATCCCTACAAATACTATGGTTGGAGACAAATGGATTGAATGATTTAGTAGTTTGTCATTTTCTTAAATATTGGCATGTTTCAATTCTCTGTTTACATTTGTGGTGCTCAACATGATATTTATTATATTTTGCTTTGTTGTTTTCGTTGTTCTTTATAATTGACACTTGTATTTTTTTCCCAACATTTTTAGGTAATTTTTAGTCCCAACTATTGCCTTGATTAAGGTATAGAAAGAGCAATCTCTTGAATGAGATAATAAGCACAAAATATACTACACTTTAAAGATATCATTATATTAATGGTCACAACAGTTTAATAATCTTCACTTTTACAATCTGTGTTAAAGAATGTTTGTACAAAATGAACATACCAGAACAACCAAGTATTGCATTTAGTATCTAACTGGCCCAAGTAATTTACAGATGTATTCAAAAGAGCAAATGGTTCCTGTTGCAATGTGGTCTGTACATTTACCAGCATTACTGTCTAGTGGCTTTATGTTTAATACATTATATTCAGATCTGTAAATACCAATGCACCAAGTTTGCATTATAAGTCTTGATTCTAGTATGAACACAAATGGCCATGATAATAAAAACCCTTCAGAATGTTTATTTACTTCACAACTGTATTAACTTATTGAGTAATGTAAATAATGTAAATGAAGACCAGAATCTGGTGATATTAACGGATAATAAAAAACTTATCCTCGAATAAAATGGCAAAGAGTTATGTATTTGCTCTCTGCAAGAAAGCTCAAATACCTTATTAATCAATGAAAATATAGAAATACATTGATAACTTAGAATACAATGTTATGGGTTCTTGCTTGATTTTTTTTCTATAAATGCACCAAAAGTTATTAGGCTAAAGTACAGTATCTTTTGTTATGACCCACAAGAATTAATCATAAAATAAGTAGGAACCCTGATATTTAACTTAGCTGTGTAAAAGACTGGTTATTTCTCATGTTAGCTTACAACAATAACATTTTTTGCTCTGAAGCTGTGTCTATTCTTTACACACAGTGTGCTAATGATTATCCAAATAACCACCATGCAGGACTTTTAACCCTTGGGAGTTACTATGACTGACTTGTCTGGGCTCTATTCAGAGTGATAACAGCTTTCATTCTCCTTGGTTAGATATCCATAATAGGACTACAGCCACAACTAAAATGGATAGCCATCTAGCATTTCCTTCCTTGCCAGTGACTGAGTGGCTTGTTATTATGTATTTACTAAACCAGCAATGGTAATCTATTTTCATTACATTCAATTTAATAATGTAATATCATTTCATTGTGATCTTCATACTGGACATTCAATCATTTCAGTCCCTGAGGGAACTGAACTCGTTTCAGCTCACAGAATTTTTATTTCCTTATTCAAATCCTATATAGCTTAGTATTTTCTTTATTTCAACCTAAAAGTACATTCATTTTTACACCAGCCACTATTCAGTGTTGCTGTTCAGCTCTTCACTGCATCCATTATGTTGTAATATGAACCAACACCAGACTGCTCCAGGTTAACATTGTACCATGTGAATGGAGCCTAATGCCCCTATTTCACACAGACCACGAATCCCACGAATCGCCAGGAATTGAAAATTTCAGGATTCGTGGTTGAATCGTAATCAGTTCTTAACAGATTCGTATTCGTATAATCGTAGTCAGTTCTTGCAATTCTTGATCAATCGGGCATTCGTGGCAAAAATTTTGAGCTGTTCAAAGTTTTGGCCACGAACTCCCGATTCCTAAAAATCGTAGTGAATTTCTGGACAATATTCGTGCGATTCTAGCCGAATCCCTCGAATATTCGTAACACTATCGCACCTGTATCGTAACTGAATCGTAGAGCGTGTCGAATTAGACCAGAAAATTGGCAAAATCTCACGACTCCAGCCGAAGCCCACGAATATTCGTAACACTATCGCACCTGTATCATAACTGAATCGTGAGCGTGTCGAATTAGACCAGAAAATTGGCAAAATCTCTCGAATCCTCACGAATCCTGAAATTTGTCAATTCCTGGCGATTCGTGGGATTCGTGGTCTGTGTGAAATAGGGGCCTTAGAGACCTCATTCTCTAGCATGCTATTACTGTCACAAAAGTAATATTCAGAACACTGGAAAGTTCACAACAACAGAGAGCAACTTGTTTTTTATAAAGCTGGGTTTCATCTGGAGCATTAGAGATGTTAACCTCACCATGAAGAAATCGTCTTAGAGTGAAACCCAGGTCCAATGCTAGGTGTTCTCTTCCCCCCATGTGACAGTTATTTCTGGTCATGTGAACTGCTGCATTGCTGTTTTCACTCTGAAAATGAAACAGATGAAAAAAAAGATGACTTGTTACTGCAAAGCAAGTGTTTACAACTGAATCATGTTTTGAAAATTAAAAAATGAAAAAGAAAAGACAAAAGACTTAGAAACTCTTCATTTAAGTAAATTACAGCATTGATTAGGAGAGATTTGCCAGTTGACAACCAACTCTATAGATAGGCTTTCAAAGGAATCATTAAGCAGTTTTCCTTTTCTGATCTCCTATTAACTACTTTTCAATTAGGACTCCCACATGTAGAATACAATATGGATCACCATCTTGGCAAAGAAGACTAAGCACACATCCGCAGTACCAATTTGAATTCATTACGGTAAAGTCTTGAAAATTTCGTCGTTCTTGAAAATTTCGTCGACAGACGATTTTCCGCCGACGTAATTTTTTTCCCTTTGAAAACTTCGTCGACCTTGAAAATGAGGTACTCGATAATTTTTGAAAAGTTCGTCACCAAATATGGCGGCGTTGTCCTGCTCAAACGTGAAGGTAATGCGTCAGTTGATTCAAGACAATGATACGATCAGGATATCANATAAATATCCCACCATATAGGAGGGTCAAAGATAACAGTCGCTAAGGATAAAAGCCCAAAGGCCGGATTTTTGAAAATTTCGTCATACCCAGGAGTCGGGGAGAGGTAATTTTGAAAAATTAGTCGGATTTACTCAATTAAAAATATTAATTAATTTTTAAGCGACGAAATTTTCAAGACTTTACCGTAGGCAGTTTTCCCTCCAGTCGATGTCAAATGTGAGATTTAACTGTTGAAATGTTGGTAATGAGTGAACAGGGTGGTACTTACTTGTCAAAAAGAGTTGTATTATTTGTGCTTAAGAGCTGTTGTAGCAATTTATGTACACCCAACTCTGTCAATTTGGCTTGCCTTTCTGATGCACCTGTCAGAGTAAAATTTTTAAAAAGTTTCAAAATGCACTATGTGAAATATTGACATAACTCTAAAAATAAACAAAAGTGGAAGATGAAAGTTAAAACCTACATTAACTAAACCCTAAATTAACATCATTACTTTTTTAATATATTGACAGTCAATGAAAACGCATCATTTATTTATCAAATAATATTTTAAGTTCCTTTGGCACATTAAGAAAATAACAGTTTTCATGTGAAATATGTGAAATATGAAACAGTGGTCAGCCCACTCTCCTATGACAAAACAAGTGCATTTGTACTCGTTTATATGGTTGGAATCAATTCTCGGTAAAAAAAGTGCAAGAAGGTTTTCTGATGCCTGTACAGGCAATATGTTATTTCAACATAAGATATTGCACTCTGACATGATGTATTTTATCTTTCACCCATTATCAATTTCCACTCTGTGTGACTTTCTCTCTTACTTTCTTCCTCATTCCAGATTAAATTGCAGATGCAGAAAGTGGCAGCTATTTGCAAATTAACATTACTATGCATCTGAAAATAAAGACAAAAAAAATTCACTTTCGCAAACTTTTTAGTTATTAGCCAGGTTGATACTGATACCACCTGTTTGCACAAATGCAATAAAATACCTTTGACATCATCTCACATGCAATTCAAAGTTATACAAATGGTGGAAATAACAGATAGTGGAACTGTAAATTTCTCTCAGCGAATCATGACTATTAGTAGTGATGAGGCTGCCATTTAATGAAAAATTTGGAAAATATGGTGAGTGATCCAGGCCACCGCCTAGGCCAATGACATTTTTGGCTCCAAAAAAGTCAGAAATCGCTGATAATCGGAAAAAAACCATCCCTGTATTAGTATTGCAAGAGTGTGCGACATGAAACAGATAGCTTAATATATAATGACACTCACAGGAGGATGTGTTCACCACAGATCGATAGAAATGTTTCAAATTAGTCTACCTCTTATGTCATCTGCAACATTATTGCATCAAGAGGCCAGTTTTTCTAATAATACAAATGATTAGAACCTGCCTTCATAAGAAACTGTTTTTATCCACTCAGGTGATTTTATAATTACAGTGATAACTAATAATTAATGAGGTAATACAAATAGAATCATTCATCATCAGTCATCCAGTTTTACTGAGATAACTGAAAGTTTTTTTTTTTTTTGCATGCACACATGGATTGAAATCCACAAACTGCTTGCTTCTACCGTTCAAAATTGTTCTTTATAAGAGACAGAAACTGTCATTTGCAAGCAGCTACTAAAAGTATAAACTTACCATGTAATTCATTAGCTTTTTTAAAACATCTTCATTTCCCATGATAAAATCTTTTGCCGAGTCTCCATCTGCAACATTGGCCAAGATGCACAGGGTCTACAAATACATAATCAAAATCTCAAATTAATCTCAATTAAGACAATTTCCACAGATTTCAAGTTAATACAAAAATCAAAGTAATTAATCAAGATCATTTCTGACAACATTATGATTTAGCACACTAATGTATTCTGTAGAATAAGAAATGCAGCAATTACAGGATCAAATTCTTCCTACAGAAAATATGAACCTTAAAAAGTTGACTAAATTGTTGAATAATTCATTAAAAGAATTTATTCTGTTTTGTTAAATAATTGCCAGGAAAACAACTTTTATACCAGTTACAAAGGCATAAAAAGATTTCAAATGCGCAGACCTACGACTGACCATAAATAACAGTTAAAATGTGAAAACATATATAAAATACTTCCTATTAAATCGGGGCCATTTTTTTCAGTTTCCATGATTTAAAAGCTTAATGAAACAGTTCTGCAAAACAAATAAATGGGCAGTAACACAGCAAAAAATAAAAGTTTATTCTAGACTGGGATTTATCAGTAGATTTTGTTACAATTCAATGTAGGAATATTATCTCATATGAAGATAGGACAACCTCAGGTGAGGTGTAACTAAGAGACATAGGGGAATTCCAGACACTAGTAAGGGAACACAGGTTATAGTAATATAACAAAGACTGGGCATGCATGGAAGCAGATATGCTGTTGAAAATATTGTGAAGCAATGGTGCACAAAGACCAGATGTCAATTCTCAAATCTTTCATTGTTTCATATCCATCAAAATTTCTTCTGTGCACTCAGTGGCAAATAATTCTTTACATCATGTTCAAATTTATGAACCTGAATAGAAATATTCTCTCAACTGTGTCATCAAAGAAGACTACCAATTCACTTTGTGCCTATGATGGTGCAAACACCATGACATTGGTATTGAGGGTTTCAGAAGTCAGGATCTGCACCTTATGGTGTACCATTGACTGGTAATTGCTCTCCAACGAACAGGTAAACATCATGCCCACTATCAGCTTGGCCTTGACGTGTCTGCATCCATCACATATCTATGGAATGGTTATTGCCACAAATTAATACAGCCTATATAAGATGTCTGTACATTTGTTACATGTAGCTTCAGCTGGCTTCTTTTTCCATGTCTATCCCCAGACTTGCTTAAATATTAGCTAAATGAGCTACCTGCCTCATTGACCTGTATAAGTGCAAACAGTATGTCAAGAGACAACCAGCTTCAACCGTTTGCCAACACAATCCAACACTCTAAAAGATTAGAGGGATAACAACTGTTCATTTTGGCCAAAAATGGATCTTCCTGGGGTAAACGTTTTCAGTTTTGAAGGTATGAAAATACATAGCTTAGCATTTTTCAAAATCTCTTTCTATGCCTGAAAAGAAAATGATTTACAATGTCCAAGCAACAAATCTGGAATGTGGCCTGTGGGGCTGGTTTTAATGATCTCAAAATAAATAAATAAGTAAATAAATAAATAAATAAAAACAGGATAACTTTATGAAACATATTCAGACCAGGCATATTCAAACACTATTTGTACCTTTCCCTGCTTGATGACTTTGGCAAATTTGAAGCAAAACGCCATCTCAGTTTTCAAATCAATCTAACAAGAATTGTGTACAGCCACAACTTGGCTTCAGCAAACGTTATAGTTGTACCTACACACAGAGCCCTGCCTGTACAGTAAAAAATGATTAGCAAACGCTACACACTTAGAGAGTAATGCAACCCTGAAATAAAAGCTTTCCATTAATAGTAACATAACATCCCAAAAATTCATTACAATGATCTGATCACAGCTTAAATTCCCCGAAGCCCTTTTTATCTAATATAACATGAAGCTTTTACTAGTCAGTAGGTGCTTTAATGTAAAATAAAAGGAACTATGAGATGATTAAAATATGATTTAAGCATATGGTTTTCTTTAAGTACCACCAAAAGTAATTATTAAAATCTAAAAAAAAATCCAAATTCCATTGCATTTTTTGTTTCACTGAGCACATACAGCTGCAATAATGCCAACTGTAATTATAGAACATTTGTAAAGTTGTCCAATTGGGCACATTTCTCTGTTGAAATGAATATGAAAGAGAAGTTTCATCTCTTTAGAGGGTAATTAGACAGGACATATCATGAACTACACCACAATCAGTATTCCCAGTGTTTTTACTAAGAAAGTACTTCCAACGTTCATCAATCTGTAGTGTCAAATTCCCTGCAATTCTGTGCACATAAATAAAACCCCCGGAGGAAATTGAATCTACAAAATAAAAGGCAGGACTTGAATCACTCAAATATTTTTTCTAGTGGGATTATTAGTGACCAGATACAATGGTTAATGCAGTCCCCAAGCAAACCACTCTCCCTATTAACGGACACATGCACTTTCGATGCCACACAAACATCCACACTTTCTCTTTTTCAAAAACTATTCTTCAATTATTTTAGTTAGTATGTGTATTGCGATATTTCCAGGATAATTCCCTAGGTCCTCTTGTGGTCAAAATCACAAAGCTGGTCAATTGGACAGAGATTTCAAGCTAAAAGGATAAAACTACATTCCCTTGGCTCAAGAAAGTTGTTTTAAGATAAAATATCTATCAAATAATTTTTCATAACCTTCCTAAAATGTCCATACAAAGCGTGCTTTTTCTCCATCCTAGAGGTATCATCAAGTCATATCCAATGCACTTAACAATGTAGAACTTAGTGACTTATCAAAATTAATGAAAAACACAGTCCCTAAATCTAAATTTTCTAACAATTACACCTGTAATTCATCAAGAACTAACTTGGTAACCTTAGAAATGAAAAAATCTTAGACCCAAATGACTAAAATTGTCCCTTTTGACCATGAACTTTAAAATCCACTATTTTTAGTATGAAACATCCATTTTTTGTACAAAATATCACCCCTCATGCCAAATGAGTTTACTTTCAGATTGAAACTATAACTAAGCTGCTTTTGTGATACACTAAGACTGCATTCCCACAAATTTAGATCGATCCACCTGGATCGACCTAACTCCCTGGGGGTTCATGCTAAATTGCTGTCAGCCGAGTGCGCATGGAAGTTAATTACCCCCTTACAGTTTTTAGTAGGCGGGACAGACATTTAAGCCAGCTAAGCTGACTGTAATCTAGTGAGACTCCCCACAGGGATAGATCGATCTAAAATCTGTGGGAATGCAGTCTAAAACTGTAACATAATATGATATATACATCCAATCCAGAGTATCCTTTGATGAAGGCAAAACTGTACATATAAAAAAACTTGAGAAAAGTTTCCATGGCAACACCCTGATAAACATAAAAATTGTCAGTACATCCTTACCTAACAGTTATCAAATATATGATGCATCTTGCATTCAAGACATATGGGGTTTTACTAGTTGTTCTAAAGATGATCTTTTCCCCCTTGCCAATGTGAACCATTTGCAAACTCATCCAAGAGACCATGAAACAATTGCATGTAACTCCATCAGCAGCTTATGTGCCCAAAATTGGGTTGTATTAGCTGACATCTTTGCATTAAGTTCAGAGGTCTGTAACATATACAAACAGATGGGCAGACAGACAGACATACAAACACAAAGAAGGGGGCTAATCATCTTTCTATCTGAATCTTCAAAGTTGCCAACATTTAGGAACAAGCAAAATTCCAAAGAAAGATTTACCTTTAATCAACAAAGAGCAGTCATTTATACCTGAAGTAAAAAAAAATTTCTTGGTCTAGATGATGTAACGATTCTTCACCAACAATAAATATGTCAAAGTATAATCTTTCAGCCCAAATGATCTGTAAAGCCCTGGAGAACTAAGTAATAAAGACCAGCAGACGTGAGATTGATGGCAGTCTGTTTCATATCCCAAACAGGATAACTTAAACATAATAATCATCGACCAGATGGCCTTGTGGTCAAAGTGTCCACCTCCAGAGCAGGATGATGTGGGTTCTATTGCGTCCTGGGACATACCAGTCCTTTATAAACGGAACCTGCCATCTCCCCACTTACCACTGAATAGATAGGGGTTGCAGCAGGAATACAAATCCCTGGTCTAGCAGAGAAAGATATTCATTTGCTAGTTTTCAGTGCCCCATAAGGCAGCTGGCTGTATCCTCCCCAAGGAGGCAAAAAGCATCAATAGCCAGACTGTATCAGGGCCAAAAATGAACAGGTGTCCATGTAAACTGCACTGTATTACTGTATATAAGAACAGAACTTTACTTTTACTTGTAATAATTTTTCTTTTCATTTTTACATTCAGTAGTGAGAAATGTGAAGACAACTGAACCACAAGATTTTTCCCACTCAATACTTTTTCCCCTGATACATAATGTCTGTCATCACTGTAAGGCTGAAAAGATCAAATATATTGTATGTTTCCCAGTGAGATTTTATAGTCATTATTATCGATACAAAGTTTTTATTCTTTTGTGGGCATTATACAATGACAACCAGGAGAACATTTGAGCTATTGTACAAGTAACATGATTTAGAAGAGTCAGATATATTGTTATTTTCTGTGTATTTTCAAAATTGGTATGTTTTAGCAAGAGAATCAAAAGTGTTAAAGCAATATTCCACTCCGCTTTTTTTTGGTGATCCAAAGAAAAAATAGGTCATACAATAGTGTCATTTTAACCTTACTATTTATGTATTTCTGTAAAAATGTTTGAATTTACAGACAATATGATTTTTTATTCACTTAGCATCATTGCTCAAACGCATAAAAATGAAATCCAGAAGAGCAATGACCAAGAAATCTGAACTATGTATATATACATATATCATATATTGTTATGATATATGATATATGATATATACATATATCATAACAATATGCCACTACCAACAAGTTTTTATTTCAAACATTTTCCCACAACCTCAACTGCAAAGAATCAAAACAGCTTAACATTTCTTATAGCATAGAAGGGAAATGGAAAAAATTGTGGTATTCAATTATTTTGGTCTAAAAAATATAATTCAAACCACTAGACTGAGAAGAAATATCAAAATTAGAATAGTGTAATTGGTTGTTTACTCCCCCCCCCCCCCCCCCAAAAAAAAAAAAAGGAAATACATTTGCTTAATCTAAATTCTTCCCACTCTACACTGAACTGTGTACATTCATCTGAGAGTTAAACTTGTCTTGATTCAATTTCCAGGGATTACACCTACTGTGAATTGAAACAACATCAGCAAATGGTGAAGACTGTTTAATCTTTCAAGCCAAATTTACTGACACAAATTTACAGAAAACTGAATCAAACAAAAAAAATACATCATGTTTTAAAATAGGCTCTTCAATTAAAATACAATAAAACTGAATAATAATTAAAGGTACAATGTGCTCCTTTGAAAATTTGTCAAAGCCGTATTTTCCATGTTTACATATCCTGCAAAGCTATTTTATTAAATCTTTCCCAATCCAGCCCTAAAAAATAAAACCCCTCAAGTAAATGTACAGAAAGACATGTAAATCAGAAACAGACTTCACAATTATACTACTTACTATCATGTAAATTATTTAGAAGCAAACCATTAATTTAAAAATGGAATAAATCATTGCATCCAAGTGTAGGGAGGGGTCGAGCAATGATTTATGAGGAGAAATTTGCTTTTTTGTTGTGGGTAAATCCCAAATAGTGAAAGGCTCCACACAGCTATTGGCATTACTTGCCTGGCGCAAGTGATTATTTGAGTAGTAAAACACAAAAGGCTAATTATGCTGTATGTGTCACACATAACCTACTTTTTTAAAAATTCCATAAATATTACTTCTAAATTTTTTACATCTGATTCCTTCAGATGATGCAAGAAGAAAATTTAAAAGTAGTAGGCTGTGATAGTGATACCTTACCTTAAAGCTACGTAAGCATACCATTATTTGCAATTATGGATAAGCTAAACAATAATATGTAACCCATTTTCAGTTGCTTTGAATATGAAAGACGACAGAGAAACAGACTTCACAATTATACTACTTAGTAATACTCTTATGTATTGACATGGTACATATAATATCTATAAGCCTTTTGAGTTTTGTTGTTTGTATTTGGATAACTTTATGGGTTTGGGCGGTGACAATGCATAATGCCTTCTTATATAAAGAAAGACGCAGTTTCCTAGACACTCAGACAAGTTGGTTGGCCTAAACTTATAAGAACAACCACTGCTTGAAAAATGTGATTTTTGAGTAGGGCAATTAAATTTTTGTCAAGCCCTATACAGTACCTTTAAGTAAAAACATACACACACACACACACCTTCAACAGCATAAGGTCACAGAAAAAAACCTACTGAAGGGAGTTAGGTCGTATTCAGAACAGATGATCTGCGGACTCCACGGTTCAAATATGGCTCACCCCATATAATCCCCTAAAGGTCTCCTTGCCTATCACACGCACCAGTCCTACAGGGGCTTTGCAATTAAACCTTCGGAGCCAACATATAACCTGTTTAATTGCTAGACCCCTGCAGGATTGATGTGTCTGGTAGGCAGGGAGATAATTAGGGGATTATGTGACATGGCTTTTAAGTGGGGTTGGCCATATTTGATCTGTTAGGCCTCGGATCATCAGTTCTAAATGTGGCCTAAGAAGTCTGTGTTGAGGCACAAAGTATTTGCACTGTCAGAAAGAATCACAGTAAACCTATCTGAATGTCTGCAAGTAAATCAATCAAATGTAAAGAATTGAGGATAAGGAATGACCAACACTCAGGATATAAATTTATTCATTTTATAAGAACAAAGGGGACTGAGTTGGTGACTACCTGTTCTTTGACTTCCACAGGGTGGTCCCCTTCTAAAATAAGTATCACTGCCTGCATTATCTGTATCCCATGCATACTCATGATATGGTCTATGTGCTGCAACAGAAAATATAAACCATAACTATTCATGAAACATACCATGATCTTGTGCTTAAAAAGAGGCCACATTTCTTACATGAATCACAAATGTATAAGTTCACTTGAGCCAGACTAGGAAAAATAGTCAAAATGATAACAAGATAATTATAAATCAAAATATCATTATCTTATAAAGAACAAGACCACTATTAAATGAGGTACTGCTCTAACATGAACTGATCACACCCATAGGCATAACAGGGGTAGGGACAAATTTTATTATTATTCCAAATAGGAAAATGTGTGCAAATCCCTTCCCTCCTTCTAATTAGTGGTTGCAAATGTGATTGGAAATGAAATATTGATACTGCTGGCAGACTGCAAGAGCATATACCGCAAACTGATACTTAATGTGTTTTAATTTGATAATGTAAAATGTGCAAGTAGTCCCAAAACAATATAATGAGAGATAATGGCAAATGACTATTGAGTAAAATAATGCATAGAATGATCATAAACGTTCTATTAAAGAAGGCAACATTTGGGAAGTAAGGGGACGGGTAACAAAAAACCAACTAAAAATTATTATCAATGTAAGATTAACCTTTCTTCTTTGATAAAAGAATAACAATTTAAGGAAAGTCAGATTATTAAGACCACACCTTTGCAACTGTTGGATAAAAGTCATGGTGAAAAATATATATAACCAGAGCGACAGGGGCATCAAAAACAAGGACAAAGATAACCAAACTTCTACAGCTATCAGAAATATTCCAGGATTCCTTTTTCACACTAGAACTTCATTCAAAAGTCGGTCCTACATTCTTTTAAAAATTGGTCATTATTTTTCTTAATTCATTCAGTGTCAGGCTAAACCATTACACACTTCTTATTTTCTGTAAAACCACCCCAATATTCCCAATAAAGTGAACCATTACTTTATTATCTGAACATTATAGAACTAGCAAGTCCCCTGAAAAAAACTAAGCTCACAAGTTATGACAAATTCTACTAAAATGGTAGAAACAAAAAGAGCTCGGTCTACATTTTGAAGAAATCCTCCAGGGATCGACAAAATTTTTTCTGAGAAAAGATTTCTGCATGATATACCATGATTTCACAGGATATTCAATTATATCTTGAGGATTCCATGCTTACTGGCTTGTTAGAGAGGAGATTCCGTAACAGTCCCAGTGTCTTCATGAGAACATTGACATCAGGATCAGAGAGCAGACGGAAGAGCTGGTCTGTACCCAGGGCTGTGAGGATCTGGCTTTTCACCTTCTCTTCTGCTTGGAATGTCATATTCTAAAAACCAAAATCATAGGGTTGAGGGGGTATTAAAGATTAACACTAAGTTACATAATTGTAAATAATTTATATCATGTGATAGGCAGTTTTTTCATTAATATAAAACAGTGAATTTTTTAATATTCTAAAAAGTGAATTAAAGTGCTCCGTGTCTTACTATTGGAGAACAATATCCATTGGATAAAATAGTTATCCTCTGGAAATTTATCCTGTTTCACAAACAATGGATACTTTTTTATTCTGATATTGCTATCCATTGGCGGTGATCCTCAGGCTAACTGCCCAAAGGGTCCAATAGATAGTGTCATGCAATGAGATGCTCTAATGATAATCTGATCATCTGCTGAAGTCAATTCTAATGTCAACACTCCCAGCAGTATATTAATTCCACATGGAAAGCATCTGATCCCTCCTCCACTTACCATAAGTGCCCAAATTCCATTCAACCTCAAAACTGGATTTTCCCTCTTAGTAAGTGCTACAAGTAAGTCGACTGCACCCAGGTCAAGAATGGGCTGTAAAATTAAAAACAGATAGTTATTCAGATATACAAAGAAAATATCTTTAAGAAAAAATACAATGGATAACATCCTCAACAAAACACAATTACACTTCCATTAATATATCAGATCTGATGTTTTATTTTTTAATTTGTTCAAACAATGAAAATCGGGAAGTGCTGAACCTAATGCATTACCAAATTGCTCAATATACATACACAGATTAGTTTTCAATTCTTATTTTAAGCCATGCATCCTGTCCCTTTTGATACAAACTTGTTTGATAAAATCACACAATGCCTGCAAATTCCCAGGCTACAAATCCTCTTAAAAGGAATACCAGACATCCAATAACTTCCTTGGGAAACCTCACTCGTCTTATTAAATTGCTGACATCTTTGACCAAGTTCAGTTGAGGAAAATGTACCAAATGACATTTATTTCATAAGTGTCTGATCACGTCTGAATGGTGTTTCGAAGATGCAGACATTTCTGCAGACTAAATGTTTTGGTGCATTTAGTCTATTTGCTTTGGTAAAGATGACAAATCAGAGGTAAATTTGGTCAACCAAATAAGGTATTGTAATTAAATAATGTGGTAAACACCAACTTAATTTTTCACATTCTTAAAAAAAGTCGTCATACTAATATACAGAATTTCTAAAGCCTATTATATAGGCAACAGAAAATAAACAACAAAGGTAATAAATAAGGCATGCAATATCTAATCTAGTTTTCACTTTAGTTAAAGATATTCAACAGGTCTAAGAGCTAGGAAAACACAAAAAGAAAACAGCCAAGGTAATAAGTACATTAATCAAAACATTTCCTGATTTTATTATCACCTTGCCACGAAGCATCCGTCCTACCTCTTTGCTTGGAGAAAACTCCAGCAAGAGATTACATAATGTTGAGGATGCCACCGTCAACACATCATCTGAGGCCATTGTAATGAGCTGAAATATAGATATACAAGTTTAGTATGAAGTGTGAAACACCTTTGCATATATGTAGATGCATGTGGGATATAAAACAAACTGCATACTCTCTAAGGCTGCATTCACAACAGTGAACTAACAGATCTGCGGATCAAATATGGCAACCCAGTTAAAAGCTTGCCGTGTAATTCCCTCATAGACACCAAATGGATTCCCCGCGGATTGTTGAGAACACATTGTCTGCTGCCGTTTAAATATGCGATATAAATAGTAGAAAATACTTATATATAACATAAGTTTGATTTGAGACTTTTTATAAATGCTTCTTTTTCTAAGGTTTTAATATAAATAGACACTTTATTGGGCCCTGGCGTGGATGTCAAAAATCCATTCTCTTTTGTCAAAGATGCAGAAAGAGGAGAAAATATCACTCAATTGTGACAAGGAATCTCCAAAAGCTCCCAACATGCTGTTTCTTATATCTTCAGCCATATTCAAAATAGTTTGGGGTTGATAAAAAGTACCCGTATGTAAACAACCAGAATTGCAACTCAGGCTTGCCGAATTGTTAGTGCTAGGTATTGCTATGGTGTGAATACTTTTATGGTATGTTGGTTTAATTCATGGGTAGAGTGGTTAATATGGGCGTTAGTGCTAAAAGATCTGCAGATACTGTTAGTAAATGGCAATTATCATTTTAATGAGGCCTGGGTGTATAATAAAGACGTAGTGGGTTGTCTGAGATAGCTGAAAAGATAATAACGACACTAGGTATGCCTTCAGATAATCTTTTCTTTGAAGGGACAGTCTTAGACCAAGCCTCTCCATGTGTAGTCCCAATGGAGCCGAGATATAATGACTGTACCCCTGCAGGGCCGATGCGTGGGGAGGCGTGTGAGAGGCGGAGAGACTATTAAAAGATAAGGCGGTTTTTCTTTCATGTACATCCGCCATATTTAGTCCCCAGGATTTGTAAAGCCTGGCTCAATTCGTTGTGAATGCGGTCTTAATGTCTTTAAGCTGAATTAAGAAATATAAGAAGCCTTGCAGGACGTAAATATGACTGTAGGGCATTTTGAAATGTACGGAGAGTACCTTTAATCTTATATTCATATATTAATTTACGTACTTTAACACATGTTACCCACAATGTGACATGAGATAAATTACTGAAGTGTGACATAACAAAGCTCTTAGGCTTGCCCTGATATCACAGATGACATAAAAAAGTTGACATGGCTTTGTGGCTTCAGCTTCATATCCTGACTGAAGCTAGCAGCATGAAAGAGGAGGTCTTTGAATCACACTGAAGTCTGCTGTCACAAATGTGAAGCTGGGTCACTTTAATTTCCAGTCACTGTGACTATATAATATAGAGTAAACTGTTTCAGTTCATTTTTTTTTTCTAAAACCAATCAATCAAAAGTTTTGTTTTTTTTTTCAGATCGCAATTACTTGTAAAAATGTATGCCTCTTACAAAATGTTTTAACACAAATTTATTTACAAAGTAAAAGCATCTTTTTGTGTGAAAAAAATATATAAATAATTTTAAAAAATAAATAAATAAAAATGCTCTTCAAAGCCTTCATGAAATGAAAAGTTTTGACTAAATTATCTGTGCTAAGTATATCAAATGACAAAGCAGCAAATCTGTCAAATGTACAGGCCTAAAGCAGAAAAAAATGATGCCACTTCAAATATAATTTTTATGCAATATTACATAATTCTTAACTGCATAATCATTGCCCAATTTTAATTTTGTACTACAGATAGCAAGGACATTCAGAATAGCATGTAACTACTAAAACCCCCTTTACACTGGACAGCGTCCTTTCTGCAAGCATGAAACTGGCATCACTGTAGTCATAGAAAGGAGGCAAAAGCATAGCTTTGGTTGAAAAATGAATGCTCAATGATAGGCCAGTTGTCAGCACGTAAAGTATTATTATTTTTTACTCTTAAATGGGGCCGTATTATTGAATGCAGAAAGGATGCCGTCCAGTGTAAAGGGGGATTAATGGGGTTCAAGCCAATGGGAGTTCAGTCTATATTGGATATGCCATCTCCAAAAATATAAGTAAAAAAGTTTTTTTTTTAAATAACGAACATAAATAATCCAATAAGACTTGGTTGCCAACATGAGCATTATTCTAGTTCTAGTAAAATAAGCACCTACTTTTATAATGTTAATGTTGGATGTGCACAGAGTGGTTTTGTCAATTTTGCTGCAATATTAATTTTCAATCATGTGCTACAGGTAACACGAACATTCAGAAAATGTTACTAGTTTAGGGCTTCAGTCCCATGGGATTTCAAAGTCTCACAATGAAAATGCCAATATATGAAAAAAACAACAACATTACTTCCAGGAAAAATAACCCCATCCCTTGTTTTTTTCTGAATCACACTGTATCTATACATAAAAATAAGATTATTTATTAGACTACAGTGTGACTGGACTTTTAAAAACTTTTTTAATATTTTAATATTTTTTTTACTCACTTCAGAAAAAAATCTGCATCAAAGTGGATTATCTATTCTTTCCAAAATAAAAAATGTGCTAACAGGCTTAGGCATTCTATTAATTAAAAAATGATCAGAAACACAAATACACAACCAATATCTTTGATAATTTCCGTAAAATGTACAGGCCATGCCAACACTAATTCAGTTTGGTTACTGTAATGTCTTAACTACTCAACCAATGTCTTTCAGTTCATCTAGTCACCCCCTCCCCCCCTCCATCCTTCAAGTTATGTATTATGTTATGTATTATGTATTAAGATATCTTTCACGTGCAATCCGAACTGGCCCACCTTATGCCTACTTCTGGTACATAACACTTGGCAAATTTGACATTTTAAAGTCTAAATCAGGTTTGGGAACAAAAGAATGTAAGGAAACCCCTTTTCGAATCTTGACTACAATGCTGCAGCACATCACGGGTTTCCTAGCTCAGTAACAAGCAAAAGTGTATTGGTATGGTTCTAGAAAAAGGTTAAATCGTAATTGGTAAAATGAAGACCAATTCCCAGGGCACCAAAAGTCTCAATCCTTCAACAAGTCTTCAAACTGCAACCGATTTCACTAATTTGGTGTGATGGCACGGGGTCAGCCTCTCTCTCTCTCTCTCTCTCTCTCTCTCTCTCTCTCACATTCTTAAAAGGGTGCTTGTGCTGGCAGGGGTGTTTTGGAAAATGGCAATATACAAATTCTACTTAAGCATAAAAACTAGCATCAGTTATCTAAGTTCGTGTGTGTATGCATTCTTGTTCCTGGTGCTTCTGTTATTAGTTGAAATACAGAAATACCAATTCATAAAAAAGTATTAGGATTAAATTTGGCTATGCATGTTTGTGTAAGCAAGCTAATGTGCCTGCTCACATCTGTAAAAGGCAAATGTCTGATATATATATATATATATATATATATATATATATATATATATATATATATATATATATATATAATATATATATATATATTATATATATATATATTATATATATATATAATATAAGAGAGGTAAAAGACTAAATATTGCCATTTCATCAGCATGAATTAAGGGTTAAGTACCCAGCATTCAATCAAAGTACTCACTTTCATGAGTGGTTTCCATACAGAGTGGTCTTGGAAACTTGTCCTTAGTTGTTGTACAGAGCGCGAGAGGCTGTGCATACACCTGACCGCAGCTAACTGGACCTTGGGGTTGGTGTCCTGAAGACCGTTCACTATATGGTCCATCAGGTTCTCTGTCTCTATAACCTGCCATGAAATCAAGTTGAAAATTAACCACAAGTTTATTGAAACAAAACAATTCACCGCTACTTCAAAAAGTAAATTCTTGTAAAAAGTAAAAGTAAAAAGTAAAAGTAAATTGTAAATTCTTATGACAAATAATCTAAACAAATATAAGATTAGATTATTTCAGGTTTGAAATTGATTGTCCATATATGAAAATATGTACATTCTTTATCACAATAGGTCACTTTACAATAATTGGTCAGTCCCTTATTCTGCATCCCTTTCAACTGAATGTTTGAAATAAACATATCTTGTTTGTTACTTTCTGTTTATCATTATCAAATCAGACAAGGGCATATTTGACAACAGGTAGAGATTGTGCACAATTCCCATTAATCCACAGCAAGACTAACTGTAACTGGTGAAAAGAAACAAAATTAATTTACAAGACAGCCGGATATCTTAACAAGAAATCAGTCCTTTTAATACCCCCGAGTTAGTTAGGCTGTGAACATGACTCAATTGCTCAATGCCCTGTGGTGTATCAGGCAAGTTAACCCCAATACCAGAAGTCCAGCAAAGTTATATTAAGTTCAATATAATGTAATTTTCCCATTTGAATGCAAGAAATGTAAGCCATGATGTGCTGAGCAGGCAAGATAAAAATACTTGATATATGGGACTGGTTGCACTTTTCTTGAAAATAAACTACTTCAATTTAGATCCACAGATGTGCAAACGTGGGAATAGAGTCCAAATGTGATTTGAACTTAGGATAATATCCCTCTGAACACCCATTGTTGGGAAACAGGATCTAGTCCTGCCCCCCACCCCACCCACAGGGAACCAATTTAAGAACTTCCATCACCAAGAGAAAAGAAAAAATATATTTCATTAATAAGTATTAGAATTTTGATAACCTGTATATATTTGTAACAGGCTTCACCAATGACAGAGATGGTGCCACACAGATTTAAATCATTATTACATCTGAGAGATTAATAGGCCAAGTACATTGAAATATGAATATTAAACTATACAGTGATATATGTGATTTAGTTTTTTACCCTGAGTAATAATAAAATAATAATTTTTGAAGTGACCAATTGATTATTTTAAATGCCAGCATGTTTTTGAACAATTATCCTGTTCACACATAGCATTGTGAAATGTGATTAGTCCCATTTACACCAACATGGTTAATCGAGATTAAGGGAATCGCAATTCTAACGCGCTTAGCTAAATTCACTTTTTTGCGTTCGCACATGTAAAAACGAAATCGCGATTCACCTTGCTAGATCTGGTAATTGCAACTGCGCTCGCTAGGGGAGTCACGGTATATCCTGTTGATCATGCGCAGTAGCTGCCTTCAAGACCATGCTTTCGGTGTGTACGGTGTTATTTTCTGTTTAATATTCTCATCGGCCCAAATATTTAGTTATGCTGCCACTGATTTTTCAGACCAGTACGTCCTCTTGGCCATTTTGCTGACTGCGAAGAAACTTGATATTGCGTGAACAGTCTGTTTTCTTTCACTTTCAATAGAAACTGCACATGCGCCTTAAGTCCTCGACTTCCGGTGTTAACATCGATCCCATTCTCACTAGGAAATTATATATCGCGATTTAAGTTTACATCGATAGAATCCACCTCTCGAGTAGGATTAATTTGAATTGCGATTTGGTGTCTCTACTTCGTTCACACTAGAAGCTTTACATCGATAGAATAGCGATTTGGCACTAATCGCGATTGAAAGTGTCTCGTGTGAATGGGGTTATTAGTGCCAAATTGAAATTCTATCAATGTAAAGCCTCTAGTGTGAACGCAATAGCAACGCCAAATCACAATTCAAATAAATCCACCTCTTGAGTAGGATTCTATCAATGTAAACGGGGTATAAAACTTCTAGTGAGAATGCAATTGATGTAAACACCAGATGTTGAGGACTATTGGCATTTGCGCAGTGTCTTTGAAAGTGTCCAGTTGCAAGTGAAAAAAAACAAAAAAACACACTGTCCATGACTGTAAAGCAAGAGCAAGAGAATGTTTTGGCCTCCCAAACCAAGTATTTTATACAAAACAAAAGAAAAGAACATCATAAACACCAGTGCAAAAACATAGCTGTTGAGTCTGGAAGCTAATGCCCATGATCAACAGGACATACTGTGGTTCCCCTACCCAGTGAGGGTACAATTACCAGATTTAGCAAGGTGAATCGTGACTTCATTCTTACATGTGTCAATGCAAAAAAGTAAATTTAGATAAGCGCATTAGAATTTCGATTTCCTTAATCTCGATTACCATGCTGTGTGTGAATGGGGCTAATGATAGCGGGTTTGAGGAATTCTTGGAAAAATCTCTGCCCTTTTTCTCAGAGAAGACACCACAAAATGTGCATTAGTCCAATTGATTAGCCTGAATGTGTAAAACCACAGTCATGATGGGTTGCAACTAAAACCTTTCAATTGAATTGCACTCTTGATGCTAGACATGAACATTTAGAATTGTTTTCACCTATAGTTTCAATAATGGCCAAAATGTGTGTATCTTCAGTTTTTTACCCTCCACACAATTCACATGAAGTATTCAGTTCTAAGCCGGAAAATTTTGGAGGAAGCAGTGTTCCTCTGAATTGATTTCTAAACAATTTCTCAAAGTTTCAATGATTTTCAGTTCTAATGTTCTAAAACATTTTATTTCTAAAAAATTCTATGTAGCAATGACAAACCCATAAGTATACTTTCAGACACAAATACAAAAAATCCAATACAATTACTTAATCCCCATCCAGCCTACACGTGCAGTAAATATCCCTTACAAACAGGTTGCTATGGAGAAACTCCAGAAAGAATTTAATCCAAGACTGCATCATGGTAATTACTGCTATTCAGATAGAATTATTCATACCATCCACTGCTAAGAAGATTACAAATGCACCCATTTTTCTTTAATAAGTGAAACTAGTCTCATTACTGAAGATATTGCAAATATCTGCATAACCCCAAAGACAATCAGTCATTTTACAAATCATTTCTCCTCAATTTTTGTGTATTCTGAACATTTCAGTATAATACCAATTAATGCAAGAAATAGTCGGTTCATCATCTTCAAATCAAGAAGCTTTCTCTTTATGATCAATTTTCATTACTGATTATTTGAGTCAAAAGGCCAAATACTGTATTCTGACCACTAATATTCTTTACCAGAATTACCAACTTAAACTCAGGCATCAGACCAATTTACATGAGCATGATGGTCAAAATGATGTCTAAGGTATATTTTCTTTTGATGTAGTAGCATGGGTGTTGAGATTTAGAACTTTTGTCATCTAAAACAAAGACCAGGACAAAGTCTAAGACCATTGCTGATCACAACCCAAATGAGAATGTTAGCCTAAAATTATTCATTACATATCTGGTCTTTAAGTCGGTCTTAAAAAAAGGTATAATGACTCTTCAAGATTTCTATATCTGATCCAGCTGACACTTAACATACTCATATCTCTTTCATATGTAACGGAAGTTTTATTTAGTTATTCATTTTTAATTTTTTAATTCTAATTCTAATATTTCTATAATCACTGGATAATGAGGAGAGAGTATCTATACAAGAACCAGTTTTTATATTGTTTCATGATATATTTAACTAGATGTTTTCTAGCAATTTCATGAAATTGTCATGGTAGAACAGTTAAATACTCTTAAAAGATTATTTAATAATAATTATTATATATACATGTTGAAATGTTGAAACCAGGCAGTTGATAAATACTCTGAGAAGAATCAGATGATATAATACAGAATACATGAAGGATAGTATTTCATAAATTTATATACCACTGTCAATTATTTGAATCAAGAAGATAAACCCTTCAAGTGTAGATAATAGATGGTGTCACCTTATTTTCCTGACTGAACACGGAAAATTGATCTCATGCACAAAACGTTCACACTGTCAAACAAGGCCATGACAACCGTCACTTAGAAAAACAAATTCCCAATCACTCCCACTGTCATTACCAAAAAATTCAAAGGTCTGTTTGGCTCATTTGAGCATTTATTAAAAATCTTTTCATAACTGACAGCTACACAAAATACACCAATTGACCTAAAAATAGGTCCCCAAATATGCCTGGTTGTTATAAAATGGATACATGAAGTTTTACACTTCATAAAAATGTAAAATGAGTTACAAGGCACAGAGGCAGGTGCATCCAAAGGTTGCTAATCAAATCTATAGTTCATTAAAACGATTGATGTCGCTGAAATAATCGTCTTCAGCCACAAGTGAAAAGTGTACTAAGCTACATACCTTTTTTCTAATATCTTCATCATTAGCTGCAAGGGAAGCAAACACTCTGAAAGCCGCTTGTCGGAGCTCAGAAGCACAGATAAAATCTTTATCAGGCTAAAAGATAAGAAAGTGAAAATTAAAAAATCCACAGGTCACACACAGTTCAATATCAAATACTGTGCTTCTGGAGAACTAATTAGGGTTTCTTAGATATATTGATTGAGTGTACAGCACAGTCCCAAGAAATTAAGATGTCTCATTTTTCTTTTTAATTCTGTAATCAACTATTACAGGAGGAGAATAGGAATGTCTATTTATTCATTTTACATATATTTCTTTAATCCTAGAGATATGTATCCTTTATTAAGTTCACACATTTAATTCTCCATATACTGAAGTAATATGGCATGACTAGAATGTACAATAATTGCTAGTCATGAAACTGATCAAGGGTTTCTGGATTCTAACTTAGAATGATGAGAATTTAGACCTTTGACTTTTTTTTATAAGATTTGTTCTCCAGAGAAATATTTATAAAATTATTCCTACTGCACCAAAGGTCATTTTCACTGAGAAATAAGTACACGTATCGTAATCCTTGCAATACAATATCTTTCATCACATTTTGACTGATATGTTATGCAAATTGCATGTTTCAGAAAATATATTCAGTGACCTGCAGAATCACTACAACTCCCCTTATTCTGAGAAGCAGAACTCTGGAGCAATATACATACTCATAATTTCCTCTATAACATCAAGAGATTGGCAAATGACATGTAAAATATAATATAAATATATTGCTATCTGAGTTACCTTGGCAACAGGCAACTAATTGACTGGACTAATATTTCTAATGACAAACACAATCATGCCAATGCATCTCACCTAACACAACTGTAGCATGTTCAGTTTAAAAATTGAAGGTCAAGAGTTGAAAGGTTGTAGAACCCATCACCCATTGCCTCTCAAACTGGCAAGGCGAGCTGAACCTATCACAGTCCTGGTCACTAAATTATCCCCCCCCAAACCCCCGAGTCATGCCACTTTGACCGACTCAAAACAACAGATTTTCATATTTTAACTGCTTGTAGCATGAGAATTTATCAGATAAATTTTGTCAAAAAAAAAATCCTCCAACACAATAAACAAAAAAAAGGAAACTCTAGCATCTGTATATCTTCTTGAAATTCTTACCTCTTCACCCTTCTTATAAGAATCATTCATCCCAAGCAATGGTGAGTACCTGAAATACTCAGCCAGCGTTTTTATGAGGTGGTCAGACACACTGGCCATCTGCTGCAAGTCCATGTCCACCTCTGTTAAATAGGCCAGAGTCTCTGCACCTTCCACCCTGTCTGATACACTCTTGTCTTTCTTACACATCCTAACTAGGGTTGGTAGAGTCTGGAGAATTACAGATATATGTGTTAACAAAGAAAGCAACAAATGATCTCTTAATTGCATATTTGATTTAATCTGAACCATCCAGCATTTCTATTAAAAATAATTATGTTGACTTTTGTTTTAAATAAAATAAACTGTCTAAGGAAAAAGAAAACCATGGCTTGCAGCAGCAATAACTTACAACATAAAACCTATACATGATAATAAACTGAAGCGTGAGTAGATATTTATTAATTTCTTGATGACAACCTGAAGTATAACAGCTTCTTGTTTCAGTGTAGGACACAACCTAGGTGTGGCTAAATAATAGCCTAGCTAAGACAGAGCACTCTGCATATTTCTTTAGTGAACAGAAATGATAAAAACTTAATTTACTTTTGGGGAAAAAAGGCAAAACTGACAAAATACAGGTTTCAGTAGATACCTTCATTGTAATGATAGGATCATGAGGATCTATTGCACCAGCTCGGCATAAATAAGTTAAACTTTTGGCAGCTGCAATCTGCATCTCTATACTTCTGTCCCTGGTTAAGCACTGTGCTATCAAGTCTGGGATCCTCTCTCCACAATAGGAAGCTGAAACAGCATTGGTGACTGTACATATATAAGTGGTGGAAAGAGGAAATTATTATTTCTATTGCATGACTTTTCAGTTTAATATAAGAATTTTGCAGGGGTTAAATGTTTTTAAACACCAGTATCATCTTACTAACCTGTTGCCACTGCTATGGACACTTGATCATTCTTGTAGCACAACTGAGCAAAACATTTTAATGCAGGCATCTGAACCTAAGTGATAAAAAATATTTCAAAGTTATATGACAGCATGTCTCTTTAAGATATAAACTACTGACATTTAAAATTTTCAATTGAAAAATATTTTGAAAAATTGTTTTTGTCTTAAATATCTTGTTTCATGAACCTGCCAACGTTTTTGGCAAATGTTTTTTTCATTACAAGTGGGAAATACAAATTTCAATCTGAAAAAAAAAAAATTTGTAAAACATAAAACAAGGGCTTTTGAACCCTGTCTTGACCATTACCTTGTATACATTTGAGCAGAGAAGAGGTGCCAGGGCTATGATAGCACCACTACTGCACAGCACTGCCTGGTGTTCTTCTGTCTGCAACAGAAAAATTCAACATTCACTGGAAATCCCCCTTTTTTGTGATACAGTTTGTTTTATCTATGAATTCTGCTTGTCTGTAATACATAAATCATACCCATGTTTTTGCTGTTCAAAATCATCCTTAAATTTAACATGAAGTAAAAATTCTGACTTGTTATTTGGCACAAAATCTAGTGAGGAATATTACATCTTCCGATTGACATCACCGAGTCATGTAGCAGAGAATATTTTAACATCGTTCTTATAAATGAAAAGGATAATACCACCGATTCTATTGATTCTCCAAACAGCCCACCCTGAAATATATATCACTTCATATGACCTACTTAAAAATCTATTTTGTATTGCTACTTGCACTTTAATTTTATCAAAAACAGGCCATCTTCTATTCTTACTTCATACCTACCTTGCAGCAGTGTGCCAAAATGTTGGTAACACATTCTTGTGTGCCTGCTGATAGGGACATGATAGAAATGAGGTGTGGGATTGTACTGGCATCCTGACATATTAAAAATAATAACAATACAGATTAATGTAGAAATCTACCGCATACTCATGAACCTGCCCACCCACACACCCACACAGATCCTTAACACAAACAAACAAGCTAGATAATCGTGATAAAAATAAGATGGCATAAAAAATACCTAGAATAGTATATTTTCAATTCTTATGATACATCGATTTTAAGTTAACAGCAATTATTAAAATGCCAAAAAGAGAAGGCTGAAAATTATATAGTTATTACCTGGTAAACATACTCTATTGGAGACAAAGGACTAATAAATATTGTTCTCAAACACCGTAAACAGGCTTCCACATACTTCAAATCTGGGCGACACAGACCTGAAAAATTTAATTACATCACTTTGCTATCAAAATTGGTCATATTCTTGAAGAACAATGGACTAAAAAGTTAAACAGCTAAAATATGAAAAAAAAGAGAGAAAGGCACTTTATTTGGTTTCCTTCCATCAAATTCACAAATGAAATTAAAAAAAAAACAATACAACCTAAATCTATGCAATAGTATTAAAAAACCAAATCTAAATCAACTAAATCTAAGTGGTACCAAACTAATACATAATAATTTTTAAAATCACACACAGTACTGTACTATCAATATATGTTTGGAGAATTTTAATGAAGAGGTCAACATATATATATATATATATATATATATAACCAGAGGGTGTCTAACTTCACAAGTTGGGGGCCCTTGATCAATAACATGCTACAAATAAATCATGGTAATTACCTTTCAGCATGACAGTGACTGTGCCAATATCAATAAGAGACTGTATGTTTTCCAGGGTTCCCTTAGCCAGGCTGCCCAGCACCACAGCAGACTCCACCCTAAGCTCTGTGCTGCTCTGATCATCAAGCATGAATTGTAGGAGCCTGGAGGTAAAACAAAGTATAACACCATTTCAAAACATAAACAAAACTATGCCTAGCTTTGACCATGAATAATTTTTTTCTAAGAGAACAATTTTTAAGTTAAGAAAATCTGGTATAGGATTATTTGAAAAATACTGAAAACCACCTTGGGTTCAGTTCAAAAAACATGTTTTGTGGGTAACCAGTAATCTTGATTAAATAATACATCAGAATATATAAGGTTTTTGAAGTAGCTACCAGATTTGTTACTAAAATGAAAATACTTCAAATATAAAACCTAACAAAATGGTAAACATCAAAAGATCTTCACATGAATACCAACACAATTAATAAAGTCTTTAAAGATACTCTGTCACTACACCAGGCAATTTCCCAATCTTTAATAGGACAGAACTCAATGTATTCTCAGTGACAACCCACCTTGGTACTACCCCCATGTTTATAAGCTGAGCTTTTTGTTTATTGTTTCCAATAGCAGCATTTTTCATGGTTCTGAAAAATAAAACAACCATACATTTCTTAAACAATTAAGTGCATTTTCATGGGGTATTATTAATCTTTTTTACATTTTATATAATTTCAATGAAGTGATCAAAATACACATATTGAATCAAAGGTTATTTGTGTTCACATCTTAGGATTCTTGACACACTTTCATGTAAATGGTGTCTTTTTTTTCTGACACGGTCAGAGTGACTGTGTCAGAAAAAGGAGACCACTAAATAAATTAGGGAAAATCAAATACTACTGCATTGATGAGAAATAAATACATAATTCTTACACTACTCCTTGAAGCCAATTGTCTGGATCCTGCCCAAATACTTCTTCCAGAAAGCTGCCATATCCATCAACCTCCTGAAGTGCAAGAAATAATTATATATTAAATATCATGTATACCTATTTAAAAATCTATTGGTATGTCTAGGCAAACTGATTGTGATTCAAAAACAAGATCTAAAATAACAATTCTAATCTGCTAAATACCATGAAACCTTTTTTCACAGGATTGCACTGAAAAATATAAAAAACCTATATTCAACTCAATGAAAATGAAAAAAATGCCAACCAACTATAATGCTATTGCTGTGTTTCAAACTGATTATTATGCCTGATGTTATGTGTATCAACATAACCTGAATGGCTGGCAGAAAGAGCCCAGGAGAAACTGCCAGCAACTCTTAGGAAAATGAGGGGTCAGCATACTGCAACTATCTCATAGATGGCTAATAACAACTTACAGATCCTAACATTGCTCAACATGTAAATTCTGGATGACATTTTATAGAATGAATTTACTTGTTAAAAAAACAAATAACTGGCATGCTGTTGTTTTGAACTGGCCAACTGGTTATCTGCCACTGAGTCTAGCCTATTTTAAAAGCAGTGATACATTTCACAAAACACATTTCAATTTAGAGGTATAATTGAAGTAATGTGAAATTTTCAAAAGATCCTTCAGCTTCATTGAAGAGGCCTTTGCACCACCTTTGATAATCCCTTAGATGTTATTCAGATAAAAGGCTATTAGCCTTGAGTCCATATTTTCCAAAAGGAAAAGAGTCGCATCTTAAAGTGAATAATGTGTTAATTTGACGGGGTACTGGTAGAGCCAAAGCCTGGCAATAGGCTTTACAAACTGTTACTAACAAGATACGGGAAGAGATTACCACACGGTTCAGGCAGAATGTTAATAAAAAGTAATTACAAGTGTACATTATATGAAACAAGTAAACCTTTTCACCATACGGAACAAATACTTTTCTATAAATAGCATTACCATGTTAGGCGGAATCATAGTGAAAACCAAGAGAGCTTTCGTTGTCCTGACCTTGGTCTCGTTCTCAGTTATAAATAGAGTTCCTCACATTCGGGCTAAATTTTAGTTTCTCAATAATTTTTGTATAATTTTTAAGTGATTTTAGTGTACAATATGCTAATATATATCTTTATTTGGAATATTTATCTTTTTATAGTAATTTTTTTCGATAAGTATATGATAAAGCGATAAAATGTAGTTTATAAATGGTATCGAACTGAATTAAAGACCAAGATCGACTCCATCACCGGCGGGAGCTTTGTATTTAGGGGCCGGTTGTTTACGCATGTTTTTGTTTAGTGATTTTTCGGTCGTTTAAATCAAGGTAGGTACCTAAAATATTGCAAAGCAAAGTTATAGAACTTCTAGTCAAACTTGTGACTCGTAGAATTAATGGAAAAAACTGAAAAGGTCTAGATCATACTGATTTGCTTTCACTGGGGTCCACTGGCTTCAATTTCAACTTCGGCCTCGACTCGAAAGTTAAAAATCGTAACAAATCTTTTTGTGTGTATGAGTCGCATCAGGACGAAGACTTTGTTCCGACTCTCGAGTCGAGGCCGAAGTTGACGGTGAAGCCATCTTGATGGCATAATTTCCAAAATGAAGCCTTGAAGGGGTGAAATAAGATTCTGTTCAGTATGATGGATTTTCAGTTGCAAAAGTTCATCTTGCTTTTTACCAAAACTAACAACCCTTCCTGAAGGTTATTAAAAGTAAGTGTGGAATCTATGAATTGCATAAACAAATAACTCATTTGTTAAGTACTATAGTCACTGAGATTACGATTGACTGGTAAAAAGTAAAAAAAAAATATTAGAAACCTTTTCTCCTTGTTTATTTTCAAGTATTATTACATTTGAATAGAGCAAAAATTTGTTAAGCCATAAATGAAAATATGATTTATGATTTTTTTTATCTAGTTTTACCATCAAAAAATGAAGATAGCCATAGAAGGTTGCTGCCATGGAGAATTGGATAAGATTTATGAAACCATAGAACATCTTTCCAAAAAACAAGGGATCAAAATTGACTTGCTGCTAATATGTGGCGACTTTCAAGCAGTGAGGAATACAGCAGACTTACAGTGCATGGCAGTACCTCCAAAATATCAGCAGATGAACACATTTTATAAGTATGTTATACTTCTTCAAAAGAAAACGATTTTCAACAAGTTACACACAGCTGTATCAATGTTAATACAAGCAAAATGTCTGCTGTATTTTTTATATATAATCTATCACTTCTCCAGCATATGAACAATTAAAGAATATTAAACGTTAAATTTTGTGGTTTATAAATACATGTTCTTCTATCAGATACTATGGTGGAATCAAGGCCCCTATCCCTACTGTGTTTATAGGAGGTAACCATGAGGCCTCCAACTACCTCCAGGAGCTGCCATATGGAGGATGGGTGGCACCTAATATTTATTATATGGGTAAAACTCATCTTAAGATTATTTCACATTTTGTAATTGGCTTTCTTTTTTTATTTGAGGAATTAAAGTCTTTCAAGGTTGGGAAAACTTTATATGCCCTCTCACACTTAATCACTAAATACTTTTTATAGGTTAACTATGTTTTCTGTTCATATTACAAGACAGTCATGCTTGAATTCATTTCTGCAGTTGGGTATCTTTTCCTTTCTTTCTTTGTTTGATAAGAATTGCTTTTCTTTAAGGATATGCCAGTGTGTTGCGTTTTGGAGGTGTACGGATAGCTGGTCTATCAGGTATCTACAAATCAAGAGATTATGCCAGAGGTAAGTGAGCATGTCTTCGTCTCCCTTTTTCTCTACTAACACCATTGACTATGCCCCTGTTTAATGTTAACTTTATTGTTGCCTTACAGACACCTACTGGTAATATTTTCAGGTCATTTTGAGAAACCACCATATACAGAAAATACTAAGAGATCAGCTTATCATGTTAGGAACGTGGAAGTGTTCAGACTAAAGCAGGTAAAAATAAGTGCACTGCTGTCTAGAAGTGCTGAGCCTATGGCCTTCTGTAAAGGCTGCTTATGTAGAAGTGCTTTCAAGTCGCACGTACACATGATTGGTATTGCAAATGCTACTTCTTATGTGTTGCCAAAAGAAGGTATGTAACCCCATGCTTATAGAAGCCTTTTGTACGGTAGGATATTTGTATCTTATTCTTTATCTTTTTTCTGGTTGAAGACCTGTCTTGGAAAAAAGTCGTAAAGATAGCTGTCCTTTTTTTAGTCTTGTGCCATAGATTGCATTTTAATTCACCTTAGAAAACATAAGCAGTTGTGCTTTCTAAAAGCAATCTTTTAAAACAGTGAATTTCACTGAGACTATTCCCCCAAGAAAAAAAATCTTCTCAAAAATATTTAAGAAAAGCCCATAATAATACTTCAAATATCATTTAGCTTGACATAAAATCTACTTGACATACTAGTGAACTTCACATTCAGCAGATTTAAAACTTTAAAACTCTTGGAAATATACGTTATGTTGCATTTATATTTTGAGACACTGATGCCATATTCCTAGTCCATTTGTGAAGACTTAGCTCAGTGCTGTTCTATCTCATTAGACCTGGTGATGAGTTGAAACTTTTTCCAGCCATTCTTCCTCTTCACTGGGCATGGCATATAACTCTACTTATTTATGGGGTGGGAGGACAAGTCATAATATGCTGAGGTAGTCCACTCTAAGTTAAGTCATCACAAATGGACTAGAAGTGCATATAAAGAAAGTTTGGGGAAAAACAAGTGGCAGCAAAAGTGTCATACCTATTTTATAAAGAGGCAAGTTTGAGTACCACAAGAAAAATAACAAGTTCCCTTGTTCATTTACCAATTAACATTTTTTCTTCATTTACATACTGTTAAAGTATGTAAAATTATGACAGTTTTTCTGAATCTTTTGCATGCCAAAATTTTCATGTCAAATATTTCAAACCTAGTGATCTTCTGATAAAATAATGACGTGCTTGATTTGGCAAGTGAAGAGAAAATATATGTTATATATATATTAAATAGAGATAACCCTTTGCCATTGACACTTGTTCTTTCAGCTTTCCACACCAGTAGATATCTGTATGTCACACGACTGGCCACGGGGTGTTTATTACCATGGCAACACAAACAAGTTATTAATGAAAAAGAAATTCTTCAAGGAAGAGGTTGAAAATAACACACTGGGGAGTCCACCAGCAGAGGAGCTACTCCACAAGTTGAAGCCCAATTACTGGTTCTCTGCACACCTTCACGTCAAATTTCCTGCAGTTGTTGAACACAAGGTATGGATACAAGCTAGTTAAAGTTGTACAATCTCTCTGTCTTTCTCTTTCTTCTTATAATGATCACATATAATGGTTATACTTATTTCATCTTTCTTTTGATAAATGATTCTGATATAAATAAACCCTTAAAATTGTCTTTATCTTTGTTTATAATTGCATCTGCATTGCCTTTTTTATATAAATATTTTTATATATTAGCAGCAGGGTGCATTCAAAGTAAGAGACTGAAAATAAATTATCTTGAGTGCTTTCATACAAGTAAAAGAGATGACAGAATTGGATGCACAATAGCAATTGCTTTACATTGTGTCATTGTAGAGAATGCACATGTGCAGTGTCATATTAAATGATGAAATTTGTATTAAAATGCTTGCTTATGATAAAAATCATGATAGTAAATTTTCTGTCAATATTTCAATGATTAATTTGCTGTCATGACAAAAACTGAGAAGAAGTTACTGTAGTGTATTTTATATTAATTTTATCTTATATATGTTAAAGGTTGAAGGCGAATCATCTAAAACCACAAAGTTCTTGGCTCTGGACAAATGTTTGCCTGGGAGAGATTTTTTACAGGTAATTTGAAGGTATAGAAGTATCCTCATATTGGATGTATTAAGCAGGCTTATATGGTCATATTCTTTTATTCTTAAAAGGATAACAACTCTTCATGTGAGATCTATATTTCACTATAAAAACATTGTAAACAGTTCATAGAAATATAATATATACTATTTTACCACAAAAACGGCAGTTAAAGCAATTATTCTGAAATCTGTGCATGCCATCGGACCATGTGACCTCCATAGATGGCTATATTGTGTAATAATCTCTTAAGAGGATCTTAAGAGATTATTACAAAAAATAATCCACCTTGAGTTTCTCTATGCATAAGCATGTTTTACAAGTTCAGTCCTTTATCCATAAGAAATTAAAAAAGACATAAGTACCGATATCAATTAGTTGATTTTACTTATTTAGTATCCATTTTTCTTCCATGCACTGCATCAGTGATCAGCAAGCATTAAAAGTGTAGAACACTTTTTTATGATATTTAAAATTTTTCAGATATTAGATATTCCACATGACCCAGAACAGCCACTAGTTCTGCAGCATGATGCAGAGTGGCTGGCCATACTCAAGTCTACCAACCATTTGACACATATTCACCCTACACCACAGTACATGCCTGGGCCTGGATGTGATGACAGGTATTGTTACACAAGGACATATAATTATGTTTATTTTTCCAAGTAGCAATGAATAAGGACAATACGGTTGCTTAGAACCCAATAGGTTCAGTAGTGAATTCTAAAATGAGTACATTTTGTGATGTGGCATTTTGTAATGATTTGTGCATGACTTGCATAATGTGAATAGCTTTGTATGAAAGAGGCCTTATGAAAGTTTTGGCAGTCATATATACCCATTATCATGCAGCTGTCAAGGATGAATTTTTCCTCGAGGTATCATGATCTTATTCAAACTTTCTGATCTTTTTTCTAATTCCAGATATGATTTTACAGTTACCCAAGAAGAATTAGATGCATTAAAAGAGGATTTTGGAGGTGATTTTGCAATACCAGAAAACTTTGAACCCACTGTCCCAGTTTATGATCCCAATCAACCCAAGCAAAAAATGCCATCGCCACAGGTTCACATCAACCCACAGACAACACTGCTCTGCACCATGTTGGATATCACAGATCCCAATGCTGCTCTGTCAGGAAAGTCCAGCACGCTGGATATTGATGAACTTGAGGAAGTTGAAGAGGATGAGGAAGATTCATCAATTTGTTCAGCACTGGATACAACAACAGAAACCAGCATCTCCTTCACAAATCCAGATGAGATTGCTCTTGATGACCTAGAGGAAGATGACACTGATAGTGGGATTCCAGATTTGTCGTCTAATGCGGCTGATCTGTCAGCCGAAAGTGGACAGGATTCCCCCAAACCTCTGGCAAACTTATCCTTTGATTCTGACAGTGCTTCTGAGTCTACCAGGCTATTGACCAAGATGGCTTTGCCAGCTCCAAAATCTTCTGAAGATGGCAGCACAGCTGGGTCCTGCGACTCTGATAGTGCTGCAGAATCTTTAAATCCAAAAACTGGCCCAAACACTGAACTCAAAATTGGCAGCTCACCTCTGAGGTCCCTAGATTCCAGCAATGCAGACTCTGATAGTTCCTCCTCACCATCCACGCGTAGACCACTGGATGTTGGGGAGGTTTCTCATGCACAGGGTCCATCAGTCAAAAAATTTAAGCGAAGAAACCAAGCTATGTACTCTGGTGATGATGATGAAGCTAGCTAGTAGATTTTAGAATATGGCTGCATAAAGTAATATGCAAAATATTCTACAACACGTATTACCCTTTGATTTTAGAATTATTGAATGGCAAAGAATTCATCAGTTACATTGTGCCCTGTGGGCGTGAATTGTCTTTTTTATCAACTTTCTACTAGAAAATTACAGCAGTGAATATTATGCTGTTTTCAAAAATAAGTTAAAAGCTCATGATGGTGGCAACATTTTTGAATCTCTTAGAAACATGGATTGGGCACCAATAGAAATGCAATAGCCAAGAGATGGATGATTTTAATGTTTTGAATCATTTCTTTCTGGAGGCTGGCCTTCTGTGAATAATTATGCATATAAATAATGGTCAAAGACAGCATGTGCATAAGATTTTTAATATTTTATTTTCTCTGTCAGGGCAGCACTGCTGATATGCATTATTTCAGTTAGTTGAAGAATATTTTATCATCTTCATTTATACTTTATAGTGGAAGTCCGAATATGACTTCTGCTGTCTTTGCAGTGATGTTCTGTCATATATATATGCTACAGACAAGACTTTATTGAGAAATTTGTTAGTGTACTGAAGCCTACAAACACAGAATGGATAATTTAGTATTTTATTGAGATCAAAAGACACCCTTTGTGTCTTTAATTTATGTAATTTAAATTTGAAAGTAAATTTATACATTGTTTAATAAGAAGTTTTACAGTTAGTCAGGTATAGAGAAAAGGACAAAGGTTGTTGCAATATCATAATTACGGTGAATACAGGTCATCTTATGACAAGGAAAGTAAACAACCAAAATAAACATGCATTTTTAAATGTCAAACCTTCCTTATAGTTATATTCCAACAATAAGAATATTACACTTGTGTCACAATGCCCCTTTTGATAATTTGGTTTTTCTAAAAAAAGTAGGAATGTCATCTTTACTTTTGCCTTCCTCCTTAAAGCAAGCAATGTTTCAATTTGAATATTTGTATTGCATATGGTCTTTGGTAACTTGAATATCACAGTTAAGCTGTCAACCAATGTTAAAAGAAATTTGACAATTAAAAAGTATGCTTGCAAAATTCAAATATATCACAGCATTTAAGCAGTACATAAATGGCAGCTCACGGGCCAAAAATGACTTTTACTAGAAAGCCTTTGGCAGCGGTGAAGTGAAAGATACCATCCTAACATCCACCTAAAGAAGGACAAGTATAATAATAGTAATGGTACTAGCAAGATTCAATTTTTACACATTCCTTTTTTTCACATCAAGTACCAACATCTAGCAACTAATGTGTTTCAGATTGTCCAATTTGAGTAGTTTTGTCTTCAGTAACATCCCTCGAGTCCAAGTCTTCAAAACTCTCTCCACCATAGCTACATTCACTGGAAGCTTTCACCTGAGTATTTCCAAAACTGACACTCCTCTTTCTAGGTGAATTAAATGAAGCAGTCTTTGTTTTAGATATTTTAGTCATTTTCCAGGAATTGCAGTTTTTGGGCTTAAATCCATGTATTTCTTCCATTTCCCTCTCGTATTCCAGTTTGTTTAAAACTTTGTTGCCCTGTTGCCTAAGAAGGCCTATGAGTTTGACATTTTCATGCTGCAGCCTCTGAGACTGATTTTTCAATTTGGCATTGTCTACTTTGAGTTGCTCATAGTGGTCACCATGAAAACTGAAAAATAATGAAAATATGCAAAATTAGCCATTAATTTTCTCACAAATAAAATTGACAAATGCTATTTATATCAGATCTGTTCTTTGTAATTGTTTAGTACTAATTGTTTAGAACTCTTAAGTACTAAATCTACATGTTTTGGGCTTATTTTAAATGGTTGGTTTTCACTTAACACAAAATTCATTCATATATTATTTTTAAAAAGGAACCTCACTTTAAAATTCAGTTGAAATTATGCTAACCAATGTGGATGCAATCTCATCATTTTGCCGATTAAACACAGTTAACTTACTTTTGTAACTGTTGAATGAGCTTATAATTGTCTTGGTGAGCTTTAAGCAATTGGTTCCTAAGTGTTTCAATTTCCTTTTCTTTCTCCTCCATAACTTTTCCCATGCGGATTAGTTGCTGTGACGGAGACGTGAAACTGTCACCATTTCCACCTGCTGGTCGGATCCATTGAAAGTCTTGTTTTCTAGAAAAAGGAAAACATTTTGTTGGAACCTAAACCCATGTTCTAAGAATCCTTGAAACTTAAAGGGATAATAACTCTTTGTTTTGTCCTGGAGTAAACAACAATTTTCCCATACTTACCAATGGTTAGTGAATCCATTTTTACACTCAAAGTTAGTCCCTGTTTTTTTTCTAAAAAGTTTGGTTTTTTGTTAAAATCTCTTAAGAGATTATAACAGAGTATAGCCATCAATGGAGGTCATGTGGTCTGAAGACAAGCTCAGATATCAAAATAATAGCTATAACTCCCGTTTTTCTTGTACAACAGAATATATTTCTATGAGTTGTTCACAATGTTTTTATTGTTAAATATAGGTCTCATATGAAGAGTTATTATCCCTTTAAAGAATAAACAGTTTCTTTCATTATATATATATAAACAGCTCATATGTAGGTTATTTGATCATATGTTTCTGTTCTATTACAACACATGATACGAAATCATTATATGAAAATTAAATCTAACCCTTTTCAGAAATGAGAATGTTGGAAGTCACCAACAGACAGTCTTACCTTAAATATTTTTTAGAATACTAATTAATTAAAAGGCAAATTTAACATGAGTGCCTTTTCTGGAGTTTGATTTTTGTGTAATCTTCCACTCTATAACTCCTTGGTTTTCAAGTATTTGGCTACTTACAATTTATTAATGTTCACTTTGCTGGGTCCAGACCAGTTGGTGTATCTTGCTGGACTGTCCTTGGCTAGGCTGGAAAAGGGTCTCTCAACCACTGGGGGCTGTTTCAAGGCTTCCTAAAGTATATTTCAAAATTTTCTCATATTAATACTATAAAGAGAAAAATTAAGCAATTAAACTATTTTCAAAATATTTTCATAAAAAGCCATATAAATTTTCTATTGACATTTTTTTCTTACTTGTGCAGTGGATGAATTTTTGCTTACTTTTGTCACAACGCTGACATTGTCTCCCTCTCCATTGTCTTCATCTGAGAAATCGTCAGAGTAATTGCCATCCAATGCCTAGAATAAATGGAGAAAAGTAGTCAATTACTAAAAAGGTACATCAAACAGAACTTGGTATAAAGACAACATATTTCAATAATTTTATAAAATTGAATTTAAAAATTATAAAAAACAATGTTCCACAAGTTTTTTTTTCTTTTTTCAAAATGCCATTTTGCCCACACAAATATCTTAATTACCCTAGGTAAGCAAATTGTACATTTCTTTAATATTGTCTCACCTCTTTATTTACTTCTATTTTGGCAGTTTTTTGCAACTCTGTCTGTTTTTCTTTGTTCTTCATCAATTTGGTCACCTATAAAGGCAGATATACATCTATGTATTGCTTTCCCTTCCAGGTTTGGTGTCTATGCTTTCCTTTCCAGTTTTGATGTTGAATTCTTTTACTTATTAAAATTTGTTATTATGTCTATGCTTTCACTTCCAATAGTTCCACAAGCTCAATGTAAATGTAAAACTTCTATAATTTCTATACCTTTGATTAACTTTGTTACCTTTTCAAATGAACGTCCCTGGGTTTTGAACTGAAATATAAAAGGTAAGAGAAAATTATCACAATAGTCATGTCCAAGGCATATAATGAATCACATATCTTGCAAATGTTTTCAAATTAAATCTTTAAAGAAATTAGTCTTTGAAATGAACTACAGATTGCATTATTTTCATACATTTACATTGTTTTTTTATTTTTAATGTGAAAATGGGTTACCTTGCTCAAGGTTGTTGGAGTTAAAATAGGTCCTCTCCATCCTTTTTTCTCTTTATCAAATTTATATAAGTCTACTTCATCCGGGTTCTTTGCAAGCAATAGGAGTAAAAAGCAGAATCTTTTATGTTTAAATAGCAATCATTATAAATTTCCGTCATAATATACCTTTGTAACAGCAGTTGCCACAGAAATTGGCCCCCTCCATCCTTTAGTACTCTTGTCATATTTGAACATATCTACTTGGTCTTTATTCTGTGAAATAAACAAGGAAATAATAGAAAGACACGCCAAACAAAATCAGCAACTGAATGAAAGCACCATGTCTTTTTCTTTAAGTTCCTTATTGATAACTCTTCTTGTGGACATCTCTCTCTCTTTCTCATACCCTTACATACCCTTCCATATATTCACTACGTACCAAAACTAATGCATAGCAAATAAAATGTAATACAACAAACAAATAGAATAGGAATAGATCAGATTTAAACAAAATGAACAGCCCAATGAATCAGGTAAAAGTGTCAATGTGTATTAATTTAATAATAGACTTATTCCATACATTTATTCTTAATAGTTGGTTTCATGTTTATGCCCAGATCTTATAAATAAGTAATTAAGAACAGCTTGTGGCAACTTTTGATTTTAAATGTCAATGAATTCAACAAGCACAAAATTACTACCCTTGTTTTGAACTGCAATTCAATTAAGTAAAAATGCAAGTTGTTCACAAAACAGTACACATGCATTGACAAAATGAAAAATGAAAAAAAAAGTGGCTCTAAAACCGAGAAAAGGTTTTCATTTGATGTGAATAATTTTGGGATAAAATCCTCTGTATATAATATCAAATGCCTTATCTACCAAAATCAATTTCAATAATTTTTACATGCAAGAAATAATAAAACTTGTTGGAAAGTACCTCAGCAATGAGCCTGCACCCTTATTCAAAATATTGACATGAATATTTATGAGACCTATTCAAGAGTTTAAATCTAGTTGGCAAACTCCTAAATTTTGGCAAAGGCCTTTGCATTTGATTAACATGACATAACATATAAGATATAAGTGAATTTGGGAAACTGTTCAAATATTAACAGTCTCCTGTGAATGGCATTATTATTCTGCATTCCAAAAGGTCATTTATTTAGGCAGGCTTGTATCTGAAGTGTGCTGTTATATTGGGTTCTCTTATTGACACTCATTTATCAGGGGTAAATATTCTACATCAATACCTCTACTAAGTGCTACCCAAATGTAAGTTCAATAAAATCAATTGTTCGAGTGACTAGCGCTTAAGACTTATGCCTGGGCTATTGGTTACATTCTGATACTGAAAGGCAGTATCCCTATAAATTTTTAATTCCTTGGATCAATAATTTCCTTAGTGATGTCTGAACTTCTGCACCTAAAAATAAAATTCAACACAAAGATTATGCATAAAGAATACTTAATGTAATAAAGAAAACCTTGACAATGCTGAAAGGAGGTGATTCCATTTTAAATGTAGACTTCCAATTGTAATAGTCAGATTTGTGTGATTATAAACAGTAGACTTTTTCAACTATCAACTTCTTAGAATTCCTTAAGTTACATTCCATAATGTGCCAAAATATATACATTAACTGTATCAAAATTTTTTTCATGTTTCATATTTTGTCCAAAGAACACCTGACTCAAAAAATAACCATGCATGTGTATAAATTCAACCATTTTTCATCTGTTGAACAATACAGCCTGTACCATTCTCATTTAGTTCTGGCAGTTATAAGTGTTTGCTGTGTCTAAGGCAAGCTTCAACTCCACAACTGACAACTTAACTATGGCCTTTAAGAAAACTCTTTCACGATACAAAGTAACCAAATATTGACCTGTCCCCTAAGTAGTACTTGGTATGGATTAACTGGCAAATCTGGTCTACAAGCACGCAAGCAGTCACAAAGGTTTTTTTTATATAAGAAATAAAATAAAAATACTTCAACTTTGTTGACATATAAAAAAATAAACCCTGCTTATGAATCGTGTATCTATGCCATGTGGTCCTCCGCAGTATAGAAAAATATTTTATTTTTTGACATTATCTTAATCCAAAACTTGTTGAATTGCACTTGTCTGAAGCTAATATTTCAATTCCCGAGGTCTTACTTCAGACCAGTATTTCAGTCTCTTCAGATCAGCCAATAAACAAATTTGTATGTGTATCTTTAAAGTATCATGATATTTTCTTCTTGGTGAGTTTGAACATTAGGAAAATAACAAAAGCACATTGAGAAGCTATTTCCTATATAAAAGAGTTTACACTGTACTTTCAAACTGGTTACTGCCTCAGCACACATATGTAGGAAATTTTGTCACTGCAATATTTTTCAAAAGATATACCTACAAAATACGATTGTGTTTCTTTTGCCTTTGGTGGACTCTCCCACTCCATTTTGTCATGTTTTCCCTGTTTAGGCATTCTGTGGACGTCTTTCATTCCCAACTCAGTATATGGTTGTAATAATGGAATCTGACTACTGAAAAATAAAATTAACAAAACTGATATAAATCTTTTACTAAATAATATCTGGTCTATCTGGAGTCTCAGACACCTTTTAAATTCTATCTGACAGTTGCTCAAATTATGTCTTTTTCATATATACCCCAGTGCTAACAACATTTGCAGAAGCATTCAATGCCAACAATCACCTTGTCAACATAAAGTAAAAGGAAAAGTAGTGCAGCATGAACTCATAAATATCAAGTTTCATATCCAAATATTTCTAAAATGAATGTTGGTGGCAAATATTACTAACGAAAGCAGAAGAAAGCAAAACAGTATGTTCCCTTATTACATCTGGATCCATTATTTGATTAAATTTTTTAAAGTACACCAAATAAATAACTGTATTTTAAATTTTTGGAACATAACTATTATTAGGAAATTAAAATTATTTCATTTAAAACCACATATGGTTATTTATCCCAAAACTTCCACAATACAATATCTCTCTCTCTCTCTCTCCCTCTCTCTTATTCTGACCACATGGAAAAACTCTTTCACTTGTTTCAGTTTTACTACTAGGATCATTATACTGATAATTCATATTCAATCTTCATTATCTACTAGTAAGTTCAAATTATTTAGTTATCTGGAAAAATAAAAAAATCTACTTATCATGAAATTTATTTTCTCTGTAAAATGCGTTAAAATCACCCTTATTATATACCTCGTAATTACATATGTAATTTCCTTAATTGCTTTAAGTAAAATAAAAACTTAAAAAGAAAAAAACATATATGAAAATGTGTTTTTAAGAGGATTTTGTTTCTTTAATCATCTTATAATTCATTCAAAGTTACAAAGCGGCAGCTTATAGTAAACCAAGTGTGCGACTCACCTTTACACAGCAGTATCAACGTATCGCATCTCACAGGTGCGATATGTTTACGCTTACCCGCCTTGCGAATTGTGCCCTTCAACACCAAACATCAACAAAACGTTCCTCCGCTCTTCTAAAAATAGTGCCATTTTCACCAGATAAATGCATGTTTATAAAATTATTCTGTGAACATTTAAATAAGCACTATGATTATATGAGTATTTCTGTCTATTAATTCCATATTGTTATATTCAATATTATGCATTTTAATCCAGCACAAATATAATATTCCTCCGCAAATATATAAGGTCAAGTTCATCAGAACGACCTTGAAAGCCAACATTTTTTCAATATAATAAAGCTATTTAGGACAACAACTTGTCGTAAAATACTCTTTTGTTTGATATTTATCATTAAAGTAATTGTCAGCTTCCCCTCATGAAGTCAATTTCTAATCATAGCCCTTATCACGTGACACCTAGTTCCTCCCTTCCGCCATATTGGCCGGCTTCACATGGAAGTTTAGGGAAACTTTCAAAGTTTTTGTTTAACCTTAGAGAGTGAAAAAATAATTTAAGTGACAAAATGGCAGGTAGAATGCCTGCAGTGGTTATAGACAATGGCACTGGGTAAGTAAATGGCTGTTCATCTTGCAAAAGTTGCACGTTACATCTTGTTGTCTGCTTACTTTACTTCCTGTTCGTATGATTCATGAATTTCATCTACTTAACAAGTCTATTTCATATATTGTTACTGTTATTTTTGTTTGGCATTGACGTATAAGCTATATCAAATGCTCCAGTAAAAACTCATGGTTACACTATCAGTACATATTGTAGTGGCAAATCATTGGAATTGTACTGATTTAGTGTGAGACATTTGAGCGAGGGGTGTGGCAGAGATTTAGATTAATCTTTCCATCTCAAAATCACCGGTAACAGATGATTTATCATACACCAATCGGGCAATGTTATTGGCCTGTTTAATTCCACAATATTAACCTTAATCTGAGAAATTCATCGCCGATTTTAAGGTGCTTTGCACACTATTTATTACTGGTGTTAGAACTAGGAAGTGATGATCAGTTGAGTCATAATGCATCAGTGGATTTGTTTCATATTTCACATCACATGTAGAATTTGTATTTAGAAAGCATTTAATATGACCCAGTAAGTGACCTTTTTGTTTCAAGAAATGATTTTGATCTGACTTCTGCCAGATAGTATTCACTGGGTAATGCCTTGAGCAAGTCACATTGTTTATAAAATTTTATAGTATATTGGGATATGTTCACAAGTCGGAATCTGATAACCATAGGGTTTATTTGCCTTGCACTTTAAACATCAAAGATACCTATGTAGTGGTGCAGCAATACATTGACATTGGTAATCATTTAGGATTATTGATAGGTTTTCAAGTCAGTCCCTGCCACAATTATAGGTACTATGTCATAATAGCACAACCTATTTCAATATTGCAGGTATACAAAGATGGGTTATGCTGGGAATACAGAACCCCAGTTTATCATTCCATCTTGTATTGCCATTAAAGAGACGGCCAATGTTGGTGACCAAGCCATAAGGAGGCTAGGAAAGGGGGTGGAGGATCTTGATTTCTTTATTGGAGACGAGGCTTTGGAAACACCAGCATACTCTGTCAAAGTAAGTTCTGGGGCTGTGTGTAGATTTTTGTGTAAAGAGCGTGTTTGGTACTCACTTCCAAGTATTGTGTGTTTGAGTGTTTTCTATTCCTCGCTAATTGCACATCTGAACTAAGGGATGGTTGAAATTTACTAGGTATGAAACATGAGGGAATTTAGAAAAAAATTGTCTTTGATATGATATTTTTATACAATATTGTTTCATTATTTTTATTTAATGATCTTTAATGGCAATCTTTGTTTGGTTTAAGATATTTTTAATTGCATAGCAGATTCACCATTATTCAAATTTGTTTGGTGATATCTAGATTGTAATTTTGGATTCATTTTTCTCAGTGGCCAATAAGACATGGTATAGTAGAAGACTGGGACCTAATGGAGAGGTTTTGGGAACAAGCAATTTTCAAATATTTGAGAGCAGAGCCTGAAGATCATTACTTTCTATTAGTAAGTACAGTAACTCCATTAAGCTCTGAAAAATTTTAATTAGTAAACATTTTGTATAAATTATTATTAAATTTGACAGTGTTCAGAATTTTACTAGCATTAGTCTTGTACTCAGAGTTGTCTTGTTGTTTTGATATGTCGCGTGACTTTGGATTAAACAAAGTGTTTTTTTTATTTTGGTAGCTTTGTAATACATCTATATGTGTATCTTTTCAGACTGAACCTCCACTCAACACTCCAGAAAATAGGGAATATACTGCTGAAATCATGTTTGAATCTTTCAATGTCCCAGGCCTGTATATAGCAGTTCAGGTATGGGAACTTATGCTTATATTGAAAGAAGCATCACTTTTTTAATGTGCACGTTTAGTTATAATAAGGGACCATGCACTGATATTATCTGCTTCAAAAAGAAATCAAAATGTCACTGCACTAAATAAGAAATACTGAAAATGATTGTTTAACCTTTTTTCAAATATGAGTATGTACTAAAGGTTGTTTTGTGTTGTAGGCTGTGTTAGCACTGGCAGCATCTTGGACATCCAGACAAGTAGGTGATAGGACACTGACAGGCACGGTGGTAGACTCAGGAGATGGAGTTACTCATGTCATACCAGTCGTAAGTCATATATCAAATAGCTGTTATTAAGGGGGAAAAAAAACAAGCTTTTAATATTATGTCTTAGATTTCATATGGGTATCTTGTGGTTAATATTTAATATAGAGATGTCAGTCTACTCTTTTGTGTTTCACAGACTTACTTTCAGATGGAAAGATTCTCTTCATTGATTAGATTAATGAGTTGACAAATGCACTTTATTTGCTCTGATGTTATGAACTTGGTTATTTTCATTTGCAGGCCGAGGGTTATGTGATTGGAAGTTGTATAAAACATATTCCAATTGCTGGACGTGATATCACATACTTTATCCAGCAGATCCTAAGGGAAAGAGAAGTTGGAATTCCACCAGAGCAATCTTTAGAAACAGCCAAGGCAATTAAGGTAAATCTAAGTGTGTGTGTGTGTGTGTGTGTGTGTGTGTGTGTGTGTGTTTACTGAATTTTCTTGTAAACTATTGGTTTTTTTCCTTAATGATGTTATAATTTAAAAGCTGACAATACAATGGTCTTCCAAATAGAAATTTTGATATTGTTTGTGGGAAAATAATTCTTGTTTTGCCTCTATTTGGTTTATACAACTTTCATTTATCATTTCAGGAAAAATTTAGTTATGTGTGTCCAGATATAGTTAAAGAATTTAACAAATATGACACAGATCCAGGCAAGTGGCTTAAAAAGTATGAAGGGGAAAATGCAATCAACAAGAGCAAATTTTCTGTGGATGTAGGATATGAAAGATTCCTTGGACCAGAAATTTTCTTCCATCCTGAAGTAAGTTTAAGATTAAAATTTATCACAGCTCAAATATATGGAAAAGGGGAACCCTAGTAAAGTGATCTTAATGCTATAACATTTAGCTAAGTTGGAAAAAAGTGTAGGCTGACCTAAAATATTTGAAAAATGAAATTATTGTAATAATACTGGTGAAGTCAAATTTAATCTTTGGTGGTCAGTTTTCAACATCTGGTCAGAAAATCGGCTGCAGAAGTGTCACCTAAATTGCTGGATTTATTACGTAAAAGACAAATTTTGCTCAAGAATGCAATTTCCAATAAATTTTCTTTCAGTTTGCCAATCCAGACTTCACCACTCCAATCTCAGAAACCGTTGACAATGTGATACAGAACTGTCCCATTGATGTGAGAAGAGGCCTTTATAAGGTAAGCTGTAATTGAGACTGCAGTAGTAATTTAGACTTCACAAAACAAATACAAAATTAACATTGTTTTATCATTTGATGACTTGACCAATATGTAACTGTACTCAATGCTTATGTTATTAAATTTTGATCCTTACCTCTGCACCAAAAAGAGGGTGTGGGGCAAATACTATAACAATATAACTGTACTGACCAAGGCAAAAAAATTACTTATGCTCTTTATATCAATTACACACTTGATAATTTTTCAGTGACTTTACCTTAACAATAAGATTTTTTTTTCATTTATATCATACTTTAACATATCCTCTATTAACTCAGAATATAGTTCTGTCTGGTGGCTCAACCATGTTCAGAGATTTTGGAAGGCGACTACAGAGGGACGTGAAGAGGATAAGTGATGCTAGGCTGAAAATTAGTGAAGAGCTTAGTGGAGGAAGATTAAAGGTGTGTTGGTCCTATTCATTGTTGGTTTTGCTCTTTGAAAACCTCATTTTGCAATTTGCAATTTTACATAATGGATTAAGAGCATGAGGAGTTGTATTAGGCTATGTAACTATGCTCATTATGTTAAATCCACCTGTATAAATAAAGTAATTTAAAGCTAATGACTATTAGAGACTTTTGACAAAATAGTAAATTTGATCTGTCTGTATAATAAATTATGATGTTTTGAAGTTCTAATTTGTTCACTTACAATATTCTTTGATAATTAAATCATTCATTGCAGGGATAAGTGTAGTCAAGAGTTACTTAGATTTCAGGGGGGATTCATTCTGGTCCTGTATCATGCTTGTATTTTTTGACAGCAGATTCTGTTGATTGGTATCTCTTTCTCTCTTCCTCTTCAGCCTAAGCCTATTGATGTGTCTGTTATTACCCATCACATGCAGCGTTATGCTGTTTGGTTTGGAGGAAGTATGTTGGCGTCCACGGTATGTTGCAATAATAATGTTTAAATTAATGCCCATTTAATAGCAAAAAAAAGACAACTTCATATTTGAACACAGTGGAATTTTTATATTTTGAAATGTGAACAGTAGTCGGTGTGATTCATCACTAAAAGATGCCATCGTATATATTTATCAGAAGATTGTATCATTTAGTTTCACTTGTTATACATTGGTTTAATATTCCCCTTTATTATTTTTCAGCCTGAGTTTTACCAAGTATGTCACACAAAGAGAGACTATGATGAGCATGGTCCAAGTATTTGCAGGCATAACCCTGTATTTGGTACCATGTCATAACAAAACTGTGGAGTGCCAAAAGGGAAAGAAAAGACTAACGACAATTCTAGAATTGGACAGCAGATGATAATGTCCAGAAAGCAAGATAAGACACCAGTAAATCTTCAGTGATCCCCCAATGGCAAAAGATTGGACTAAATGTGAAAAAAAGCAAACTTCTGCTTCTTGTTGGTTCATGAAATTTGGCATGATGAAATTGACTCAAGAATGCTTTCCCCACATCAGAGTTATCTCTCTTTAGTCCGAACAAGATGTATGATTTTTTATTGATGTAAAGATTAATGTTATCCACTAAACTGAAAAGTATGCCATATTTTTTACAAAATACCAAAAATTATACATAATAGCACCGTTTCTGTGTATGTACATAAGATGCCTCTGTCAGATTCTTTGATTTTGATCATTGGCATTTAAATCTAACCAGTAACGAGGTTTTGATGATCACAACTATGAATAATACAGGTGACAGTTTGGTTGTTGCTTTAATTGATGAGTCATTGTGGGAGCACACCATCAAAAGTAAGTGTAAGCATTTCTAACTTGGAGTCTGCAAGCAGAACAATGCTTAATAATTCAGGCAAGGATCAAATAAGACATTCATTTCTAAAGGCTTAGTAAATAAGGTGAATGACTGACTGTTATCTGCCGTGTTTGCTTATTTTTCCAATGTTGGTATGTTAAAGAGTTGGAAGGGGAGTGGGTGAAACTGTTATGCATTCAATTTGCTTCAAGTTGCCTTGGCTCAAATTTGTTATGTAAAGATAAGTATGAGATTGTTATGTTATTGTATTGGTATTGAAGACAAGAAAAGCAACTTGATTTATTGATTTGGAGATGAAAAGGATAATTAATACATAGTATTAGGCAGGATTCAGATGCTTCTTAATATACTTAGTTTTGCATTGTTGATATATTTTGAGAGCTGGGAGCTGTTACTTTTATTATTATGATTATAAAGTCGAATTATTTAATCTGTAAAATGATATTGAGGTGTATGTCAAGATTTCTGAGCCGCCATTCCTATGCATTTTCAATCCTACCAAAGACTAGGATAAACATGTAGGCCATGAAATATCTTTGAAACCCGGTATAGATAAAATGAAGGTGCCCCTTCTTAGTTTAACACACTTTGGGTATGTATAAAGTGCAGATTTCTGTCATTGGTAATGTGTATCATATGTTCATAGATGGCATTGGAATGAATCCACCTTAATTTACTGAAAGCATGCTAGGTTTTTTGAAGATGGTCTGTTGTTTTAAATTGGTTCCATTAACAGATTGCCTAGCCTGTGATTTTGGTTAATATAGTTAACTTTGTTATGGTTCAAAGAAAGGTGGGTTTTAAAATTTTAACCTTTAGAATAAACATTTTTGCTGTTTTGAAAAGTAAACATTTCTAATTCCTATAAAGTTTTGACAAACACATTTAGTCTGAAAGTTTTTAATGTTTTTGAGGAAAATGTCTTCCACCCCATAACAAATTATACCAATTGACTGTTTTATTTTTGTCTCATCCAAATATCTGTATATTTGTGAGCTTTTGCACAGTTCTATTCGGTTTTCATTTTTATTCATTACTTAACATAACTTATGAGGACACTTTCCACTACTTCTCCATTCTCTTCTGTGGAAAACGCGAATGACAAAAATGTGTATGGTTAATGGCTTTGAATTAGCAAAACTATTTTTATGTTTAGTAAATTGACCAAAATTACTCTTGATTTACATAAGATTGGCAAAGGTAATTCTGCGTTGACATGTTTTAGAAGATGGTCTTAATTCTAATTTACAAGTTGGTTGTGTAAATACGATTTACTATGTACAAGGATATATTATTTCAAAATAAACTCTCAAGTTTGCGAACGTGTTGGGTTATTTATATTTCACTGTTCATGAAGTAGCATTACGAGTTTTTTATGTGCTTTATTTGCATAGGGGAAAAAAACTTCTCTGCCTGTCTCCTCTAACACATTTACGAGTCTTTGTGTTGTGAAAGAATTGCTTACACATAACTTTCTTGAGAACTGCTGAGAGGAGAAAGCAGGATTTGGCCCTACACAAACGTATGGATGTTTTATTGAGAGCCAAATTCACGAAGTTCCCGATTTTTGATAGCCGACAAGGGTGGGCATAAACATAGCTCATTTCCAACAATCTTCGATCTTTAAATTCCAATAAAACAAAGTCCAAAGTGGAAAATGTTTTGGGCTGACACTACATCTACTGTCTTCTACAGCAAATTGTTAATCAACCATGTACTCAATAACAGCAGTTGTCTGATAAATAGCGTGCCAGGAGCAGATTTCCCTGTAGAAACTTGTGGCGCGTAATTAAGAGAAAAAGAAACTGCGTTAAATCCCATGGCCGAGGTTTACTTGACGACGATACAAAAAGACCGACTTGATATATAGGACAATACGTTGGTAATAAAATATATTAACCTGACTATCCCTGTTTTTTCATTTTGTTGTTATGTCCTAGCTACGTTGCATGAGGTGCCAGCATGTTGTAATGCAGACGAGCCTTTAAAAAGAGACATTATGTTTTGGTGCGAAAAAAAGATCAAGAAAATTTCCCTGCACCAACTCTATCGATTTCCAAATTATAAAAACGTGTTATTTCCACATTAACTTCACTTGTACTGAGCGAAGTAATATACATTCCTCAATTTCCATAGAGATGATAGATTCAAAACCGGATTATATGAATCTGAGAGAAAATATTTTTTTGAAAAAAGGAAAATTAAATACACTTCCCGCTAATAATCTTTGGAAGAATTTCTTTGTTTGAAAGTCAATATTTAAGCACCTTTGAAATATTACAGCCGACAATTATCAGGAGCCTAATTCTCAAACGAACTTAGAGCAAAAGTTAGTCTAGTTAAACTGTTAAATCAAAATTTTAGTTTAGATAAATCATTAGTAGTCAAATAAAATTAACTGTTGGTCCTGTTGTATATCAAGACAGCTTATGTTTCAGACCAATGTAGGCTTAGGCCTACTTACTTTACTTAAGTGCAGCAAATATTTAGCCGGAAATTTTAGACCAATTTTCGCGTAAGGGTTCTGAAACCATACCAGACCAAAGCAATGGCAATGTTTATGTCCCTGGAAAATGTGCGTTATTTACATGAACGGCAGAAACTGTGCCATATAGAAATCGCTGTAGTATAGGTGTGTCCTAATCATAAACCATGGCCGTAAACTACGCTGCTTTGATATTGACCAAAAGATTAACTCAAGTGCAATTTAATTCAGTGATATTCATAACTGGTGTGCATGATTTATTTGACATAAAAATACACCAAGAAGATTTCTTTTCGTGTTAATCGGGCTATTTCAAGCAGGTACATTTAATCTTCTTCACCATCATCTTTTTCTTCTGACCTTTTTTTTTTCGGTGTTTTGTTATATCCACTGCAGGTTCTAATTGGTCCGGAACAAATGCTTGATATTGAAAAATGTTTTTGTTGAACTAAATCGATATATTCGTCTTAACTACTTTTTCCTGGGAAAGATCTGTATATCTAAGAGATTTCTTTCACACCATTCCGCCCAGCTGCGAATTAGATTAGAGATTAGATTCCAGCTAGGTCATTGTAGGTGTTCTGTGAATTAGTGTGCACTGGCCTTGAAAAAAGAGCGTGGGGTATTCGTCACACTAAATGCATCCCCCGCTACATCATTCGAACCCTTCATGATATTAAACTCTGAAAAATGTGCTTCATATGCGTGGTTAGATATATGTCTGTAAAGACGAGTGTCCGCGAACACCTTAAACGCCATGGCACATGCGTTTTTTTTGTTTTTTTTCGAAATACAGTTTATGTTTTATTAAAGGTTACCCATCAAAATGATTCTATTCCGTCCTTTTCACCTCATTTGTAGAGCAATTTACAAGGCAATCCCCCAGGACAATGGCCCTCTCACAGATACACTCACACTACCTAATTTTATGGGTGTGGTTACAAAATATTCCTAAAAGTGAAGGCATTTGTAGTCTAATATATATGTCACAGACCAGATCCCGAACTAGTCCAGTTACTAACCTTGTGTACACCTTGTGTACATCTTAACATATGACAGTGTGGAACATAGATAAAATTGCTTTTGTTAGGACCTAACACATTTTGAAAAAAATGTAGGATCTGGAATAGATTAGTACCATGCTAATTTAACATTTTTTTGGAATCATTATCTTTTTTGTTTCTAATAATAACAAAAACAAAAGTTCAAATCTACACGATGTTGGCTATTTCACAACACTTTTCGGGTAACTCTTTGTCAGGTATATACTACATATACTATAGTGACTGTGTTAAGGTTGATAATACATTAAAAAAATTCTAGGTAGCTTTTTTCTTTATTTATCAGGTAAATTTTAATCAATCAGCCGTAAAAAAACTCAGGTGAGAAAACAAGTTGCAATGACTGTGATCAGGTTGATCAAAGTATAACAGTGCTTGATAGTAATTATTATATCTGAAAAAAGGAATGCTACATGTATATAGGAGAAAGCTTACATGACTTTCCTCATATCCTATGTATGTATGCTTTAAAACAATTTGGCAGAGGCAAAATATGAAACTTTTCATTAACTTCTAGATGAGCTTTTGGCAATTCTAATTGAGGTCAGGAGTCAAGTCAAAAATGTTTGATAACACAAAAACAATATGAAAATATTGTTTCAACAAGAAACTGCTGGTCAAAAAAGTCAGTTTGGTGCAACTTTTAGTTATTGTTACAAAACGAACGTCAAAGTAGAGGAAATAAGCCAAAAGAAATTCTTCTGCTGCCTTAAAACATCGCATCAAGTGACAACAAAATATTAATGGGCAGGTATTTTCCTAAAAGCTGTACAAAACTTGGATAACTTGGTAGATAACAAACTGTCACCTCTCACTTAATAAAATATTCCTTTTACTAAATGTTAATAACTAGACTAGATTGGGATCTGGCCTGTGACCGATGAGACAACAAGTTGCAATTACATAATACAATTTAAGATGTCGAATATTTCATGGAATTGTCTTTATACTCAGAATCTCTGAAACGACAATTATTATTGATATCTTTATATACTATACTTCGTGTTATATAAAATGTATATGTGCCTGTTTTAAATTTTCATATTATTGTTAACCATTTCTATTTTACGTTATGTGTTTCATGTTCAAACGAATATCTTACATGTAAAAAAGACCTATATAGAAGGTAATTGTTTGCTTTGTACACTAATTTTATATGAACAAGCAACTGGCATTGATCAGATATCACGAGGATATGGGATTTATAGATTACAAGTCAGCGTTTTTGTATAGCTTAATACTAGATGTGAACATTAAACAACTTAATATAAACAGAAATACATGGACGTATTGGCATCTTACTGGAATAAGCACATTCTTACCCATTGTTGCGAGGCATCTAAATGATCTGTCATGTCAAACAATGTGAATAATGTATAGATTTTTTTTGTAAAATAACAGATTAAAATGTGCATGAGGAATTGTCTTGGGGATGTCCGGGGGGGGGGTCCGAGGGAGGAGAGACTGCTTTTGCCATATAGTAGGCCTATATACCAAACATATTAGCCATTATACCACAGAGGAAATTTACCGAGGATTTTGCAACCCTTTAACCCAAGGTTAAAGTAAATTAAGTTGAATTAAAGGTATCCCTACACAATTTCTTGGTGAAATGACTCGCTGCAACACTCCTATAAACTTTTGCTAGAATACCTCTGTCTTAATTATTATTTCGATTTCGAGTTGGAACCGTTTTACATGGAATGTGCTGTATCGTTTGATCTTATGGATGCGTGTGACTGAGCAAGCTAGAGGTTATTGACTGAATAAACAAATAAACAAATTAGAATAAACACACTCATATTAAGAACAAAACACGGTGTGTTATTCGGTATAATAACTGCTGATTCAAAGATATCTAGTGAGGGAACCTATTGGCTTTGTCCTCTACAGCAAGCAGTCAGATACTACAGCACCTAAGGGACTCAATCAATGTTTCTTCCAATGTTGGAGATAATAGAACCATATTTGCTCGATCGATCTCCTCAAAGTGGAATTACGAGACCCCCATAAAACTTGGTCAGTTATTGAGATGAATTGACACACGATACGAGGTTCTCATCGTGACGAGAAAGGTGTCGAAAGACGCTGCTTAGACAACTTGATTCCACTCAGATCTGCAGACGATGCCACTTTCATCGGTCCTTTGATCTCTCACTACTTATGCATGCTGCGAAAAACAAAAGGTGAGTCGTTTTTTTCACTCTTGTAGTATAAAGTGTGTTATTGCCACGAATGTTAATTAGTGTGCAAATATTCTGCATATCAACAGAGAAAAATATCGATATCCTTTAAACTATTTTATCGATACACCTCGACTTGTGGTGATGATGTTCATATAAGCGTGAATGAACCCTGATGTGAACTCTCTATAAAGGACTGATATTAGCTTGAGGCCAGATAAGTCAGCAGTGAAGAGCCCTCTGGGACACTTCTCATGTGTCCGCCTGCGTATAACCTGTATATTTCAGGCTTGGGTCAGAATACGGTTCACGATTTTATACCACGCCAGTACACCAGCGTACACTTCATTCAGAGTAAAAGAATATAGGTCTTCATCTACCTATGGTCTCTATATAATTACGGTTACGTGAATGAGATCAAATTGGATATTATTAATGAATTACCCATTGTGCTCAGACACATTCTGGTCACTTGATATAGTACCATACCCAATAATTTTCCCCTGCGATTTGATCAGCTTAAAACGGACCCGCGTTGTCACACGTCATATTAATATTCTAAGCGGACGCTGAGTTTTTGATATCTTAA